CATGGTAGATTGCTACGGGAAGCTAGCAGGTCATTTTGTCAATCGACTTTTTTCAATGTAAAAATGTAGGTAGGTACTATTGCTAAAAACTATCAGGAACTGTAGAATTTAGCTGCATGCGAAAAAAAACATAAGCTAAGTGTGGGAGAGCCAAGCTTCAGCACGAATAGGTCGGCTCGACCGGAGTGATACCACGGCCTCACAGAAGACCGGCGTGAAATAACCACAGCGTTGTGTTTCGCCGTGTGAGTGAGGTTACCGGATCGCTTACCATCAGGTGGTCCGGCTGCTCGTTTGCAACCTATTCCAAAAAAAAAAAAAAATTTCACTAGAAGAAACAATGCTTCCAAATCTATATCTATACTAATATTATAGAGGTAAAATTTGTGAGTTTGTATGTACGGGGTGATCTTTGGCACCGCTGTTCGGATTTTCAAAATTCTTTCACTAATTGATAGCTACAATATTTCCAAGTGAGGCTACAGGTTATAAAACATCACGCTACGATGTAAGGGAGCCGAGCAGCGAGTGAAACCGCGCGGGAGTAGCTAGACTCTAATAAAATTCCCAGTTGTACAGTCTCTTTTGTGCCTTTAAGACTTCATTCTGTCACGTCATTCTGTCTCCTGCAAGCTTCTCCTGCTAAATTTACCGAGGGGAGTGGAAACTATATCCTCAAAAATATTTTCTGATTTATTTCGATATGGTATCCAAGACCATCATTCAGTCAGTTCCTGCGACTTCAGTGTTCCGGTGTCTTCATGGTTTTTTTACGAGGACGAAGGACCTCATACAATTGCTTACCATCAGGTAATCCGCCTGCTCGTTTGCCGACCTACTTATACCATAAAAAAATTATTACAATAGTGAAGAAATTTTTGTCTTATCACGAAGTTTGGAATTGTAGGTTACCTGGTGAATGGCAATAGGCTCACTATATAGAAAGGGGTGTTATATCTCATATCTGCATGACGCTTCACGTGTTTAACAAGAACCAATAACAATCTACAAATCCTCACCGCTTCACGGTGGATATTACCTACACCCTCAAGCACAAAGCGATTCGCCTCCAGTTTTATCACCAGAACCGCTTGTTTTTTCTTCATTGGGGAATATTATCAAATGACTTCTCTCGTTCTGTCTCGTGTCAGGCTCTCGCTGACTAAAAACAACCCGGTCCTTATCCTGCTCCAGGCCGGGGCCATTATTGCGCTAGACCCGCAACCCTGGTTGAAAAGCAGTGGAATTTTTGACGGAATCTGTGTTTCCTGAAGGTTCTAACTTGGGTATCGTCAAGGCCCGAGTAAAGAGGTTGCCAATGGGTAGACATGCTCCATCGTAGGTCGTATCATTGCTTACCATCAGGCTGGATTGCGTCCTAACGCCAGCCCATTAGAAATAACAAAAAACGTAGTCATAGTAGTCGAACTGAGTGATACTACGGCCTCACACAATACCGGCGTGAAACAACCACAGCGTTGTTTCGCCGTGTGAGTGAGGATCTTCTCCCTCATTTAAATCTCTGAAACCTTATCCCCAAAAACACACTTGTAGTTTCTTTGGTGATGTGGGTGTCCATGGGCGGCGCCGATTGCTTACCATCAGGTAGTCCGTCTGCCCGTTTTTTTTTTTTGGGAGGGGAACATCATCAAATGACTTCTCCCGCCCAGGGTGGGGTGGGAGGGAGTGTCAGACTCTTACTGACTAAAACCCCCCTGTTCCTACTCCTGCTCTAGGCCGAGGTCGCGGTGCCTTATTGCGCTTACCCCGCAACCCCGAGTCCGTCTGCCCATTTGCCGTCCTATTATTACAAAAGTTGGTTATGAAACAAAAGACAGTAACTTGGTTTCAAAAACATTTATTTTTTACAGTAACAATTTATTTTTTTCACACATAACAAGAAATGAAACTGCGTTAAGGGAATATCTGCAAACAGGCGAGTCCGCTTAACGCATTGTCGGAAATAACAATAAAAATTTTCAATAGGAAACGCAATATTCGCTACGCTACTCTCGCGCGGTTTATTTCGCTGCTCGATTCCATTTAATCGTAGCGTGATGTTTCATAGCACTCAGGAATATTGTACCTATCAAAATTACAAATTTACAAATATGACGTCTTTATAACATTAGAATAGAAGTATAGATAAAATTAACATAACATAAATTGTTAAATTTTTACACTGTCCTTAATAAAATTTTATTTAAACAACAAAAATTTCATTTATTTATCACTCGTGGAAAACAAAAGCCTGAAGATGCTTCTAAAAACTTTGTTTGTTTTAATCAACATATTTGACCTTTAAAATTAATCTTACACGGTTTAAAATACATTTATCTATATCCACTAATATTCATCATTATCATCATCATCAAAATCGTTCCCCCATGGATTGGGGATCATGATTATCATTAGTCTCTGTCAGCATTGAGGTTGAGCCGGGATAATTTCCAAGCAGTGTGTATAGCTTTGTGCAGATGAGATTTGGTTTGGTCACACCATCTTGCGGGAACACTTCCCCTTAGTCTTTACCCCTCTTATTTACCCATAAGTATGTGTTTTTCCTATTATACTATATGCTACTAATATTATAAAGAGGTAAAATTTGTATTTGTATGTAGGGGTATCGGATTGCCAAAATGATTTTACTGATAGACAAAAAACCCCCGACACAAAAAACTTAAGATACCTTTAAAAAGTATATAATACAAAAAACTTAATTAAAAATCGTTTTATCCGTTCCGGATTTATGATGCCACATCCACACAGACAGACACGTCAAACTTATAAAGTTTTGTTTTTTGTGACGTACAAGCTTTCGGTTTTTCTTCCCCACTTTAACCCCCATAACTTATAAAAGGCTCAATCGATTTTCATCAAACAATGTTTCTATGTGCTACAAATTGTACCTACCTACTTAACTTGCGTACTTTAGTCGAGCTATCGATTTAAACGCCTCTGTTTGTAAAATCCCGGGATACATAAATTACTTTTATACATCTACAAAGCCGCGGGCCGAAATTAGTAATGTTATAAACTAGAACCAAATAATCAAACTAGACAAGTACTCGAATCAAACTATTATTATTTTTAATTTTGATTTAGATTTTTGAACAAGACAGTGTTGTAACATCTCTTTTTTATGTCAAATAGTAGATTTTATTAGTTAATTTCTTAAACAAAAACTAGAAAAAGAAAACAAGATCCATTTTCTTTTCAAATATTTTATTGTACTCTACTGCTATCATAGAGATTAGACCCTTTTTTGAAGAGTGTTCTCTTCTCTTTGCCAAGCAGTTATGTTCGAAAGGCGGAGGAGGCGGAGCGCGTGAACTATCCTCCTCACGACCTAGTCGCCATAGAAGACACTGCATCACAGATTTCGGGACGATCTCCCGCTCCGGCAACCGTAAGCGCCATTAGGTTTACATACTCTTTGGTAAGCGCGGGTTTATTGCCGACTAGCACCAGACCCGAGTGTATTTATAATAAATACAGGGTGTAATAAAAAAAACTACGTTTAAAAAAACCGACTTCAAAAACAAAAAAGTGTCAAATAAGTAATTAAAATTGATATTTTAATACCACTCTTACGTACGCGAAGCTAATACTTTTAATATTAATAATAAAACACTATCAATTCTATGTGCTACCCATTCATAGGTTTGAAGTCGGTGCCAAGCCTAATACATAATATAATAAGCATGGTACATGAGTACCTACACTCGCCGGGCGCGTGTGAATTTATTTGTTAGGATTTAAGAAATTTAGTACCGATTTTCTAACTTGATGGTGTTAGCGTAGAATCAGAAGTGGTTGCGTTACCGGCGAAACTGTATATAGCTTAGAAAGATATTTGGATGAATTATGAATGTTTTCTCGTACTTGGTTGTTAAAAGTAGTAGTAGATAGCTGCGTTGTTAGTTGTGGAAATTTCGTCTTTTAGCAATAAAACAGTCTTAATTCTCATTTAGTTTTATTCTGTTTAGGGCTTGGCACCGACTTCAAACCTATGAATGGGTAGCACATAGAATTGATAGTGTTTTATTATTAATATTAAAAGTATTAGCTTCGCGTACGTAAGAGTGGTATTAAAATATCAATTTTAATTACTTATTTGACACTTTTTTGTTTTTGAAGACGGTTTTTTTAAACGTAGTTTTTTTTATTTTTTACTTTTTAGTGTGTGTTACTATTTCTTCTGTAAACTACAGTAACATTTTAAATATAAATTAACATATTGAATAGTATATATTTTTAAGTAGCTTTGAGTAGGCCTATGAAAGGAGCCGCTCGATAAAAAAATATAGATCCCATGAAATGGCAAATTTCTCATCATCATCATTATCATCATCATCAGCCATTTTAATGTTCCCACTACCTACTGGAACACAGGCCATCTCTCTAAGAAAGTCTTAACAATATAAATTAAGTCCAAACACGAGGTAGCTACTGTAAACCGTTGAGGAGTTCCCTAGACTGTCCTTCGTCTTCATCATCAGATCCCTGATGACAGTCACAATCCATTTAGATGTAAAGTTCTTATCAAAACGAATTAATTAAGCTCAAACACAAGGAAGCTGCTATGAATCGTTGAGGAGTTCTCTCGACTGTCTCTCGGTTCCATCCGGAATTCCCTCGACGGTCAATGGTCTTCATCATCAGGTAAACTGCAGACCTTCAGTTTTAATAATACATACAGGTACAAAGATTTCATCAATATAAATGAATTAAGTTGAAACACGAAGTAGTTACTGTAAACCGTTCAGGAGTTCCCTGAGCTGTCCTTCGTTCCCATCATCAGACCCTTAATGACAGTTACAACCAAGCCTGCTGCAAAGTGCTCGTCAATACGAATCATTCAAGCCCAAACACAAGGCAACTACTTCAAATAGTCAAGGAGATCCCTCGACTGTGTTCCAGCTCCAACATCTGGTCGACTTCGACCTTCGTCAAGTTATAGTGTTGTTAAAGGCCTACTTAAATATCATACAAAAACACTACTCGCCCCTACAATTTTCGAAAGTTCCCCTCGGTTTCTCCAGGATTCCATCATCAGATCCTGACCTCATGACAATGGGACCAAACGGCAAGTATACCCTATCGAATAAAAAAATAATTTTGCAAATCGGTCCACGCGTCTTCGAGTAATCGGTGCACATACATAAAAAAAAAAAAAATACGCGTCGAATTGAGAACCTACTCCTTTTTTGAAGTCGGTTAAAAAGACACTTAACGAAGCCGTTAACTACGCATACTGCAGTTCTAACTAAGTAGCTTTACGCTAAAATTATCACTGGGAAACGACTTTTATTTTTTGGTATCAAAAAAAATTATAATTTTATTGCGCGCAATGTAAAGCAAACGGGCTTCGTGTCATTGTGTGCATAGGTTCACAGCTTAGCATTAAAACACTGTGATAAGTACGTAGGTCGACGTTTTACTTCGCAACAACAAAACAATTCTGTAAAATCCTACCGAGATGCACGATGTTTTTTGTGCGGGTCTGCATTTATTTATTACGTACATTACTGTTCGTAACTTCAAATGCGTAATTTATTTAGAAAAATCGAAAATTCAGGTAATGTTTGTTTGGGAAAAAGTTTTGTAATAAAATTAGATTGCGCAAAAAAAATTAAAATGCATCTTTGACCTTCAATATCTCGAGAACCCGTGGAGTCCCAGCTATGGTCTTAAAGAAAAAAATGATCAAAATAATGGTTAGAATACGTGGCTTTCCGCTTCGTTAAGGGTCTTTTTACACCCTGTATAATTAAGAACCATTATCTAAACTACCAGAGATTATGGGGCCCACTGTCAAACCGAAATTGGACGGTCAAGCACAATAAAGCCGGCCTCGGTCTAGAGTAACTACTTGAAGGAACGAAGTGGTTTATTAGTTAGTAGTAAAATAATAATTACCATTAAACTTATTTTAATTTTTATTGTTCTAAAGTTTCACACAAAATGGTGCCAAAGTCTTGTTTGCTCTCGATAACTGTATCGTGTCCATTTTTGTGTGAATTTTTTTGGCACTATGGTACTGCTTATAATCAGATTTCTAACTTTAAAAGTAGGTACATCACAGATGTGCTACATAAATACTCCGTTTAAATCCCGAACAATAATAAAATTGTCAATTGTCAATTGTCAATTCTAATCGCCATATTTAATGATCGGCAGCGGTCCAAAAGACCGTCTGGGTAGGAAGGTAAAATTCATAATTTTCATTATAAATTCTTTTATCCCATCACCTACTTTAGTGTCATAGAAATTTATAGTTTCATTTAAATAATTATCAATAACTTCCTTGCGATAAAACTCAGACAATAATGGTTTTAGTTTTTCCATAACTATGATACCATTTCTTAGTTGATCATTACACATTTCTACGGTATTCGTCATATCCTGCAAATTTGTTAGAGAATATATTTCCCAATCAGTCCTTATATCCTCAATTCTAGCTAAACAACTTTTATAATTCGGATATTTCAATTTGGCCACTGAAACACTTCGAAAAGAACATTCGACGTGACTAGCGTGAGTTGCATACACTTTTTCGAAATCTTTCTTAATGAACCTTTCATATATTTGGCAATGGTTGTGTTTATACAGAAAATCTCTGTTAATACCTTCGCGAAACAACTTGATTAATAACAAATTTAATATGAGACTGGGCATTGAGAACGGTAAGAGTTCACATTGGCGCGCAAAATGGCTGTACCTGGACCATCCTGTTAGGACTATACCGTTGATCTTGACATTATATTTAGGTGGTTTATAAGTTAGAACTTGATTCAACCAATGTATATGGTTTAAGTACCGCTTCATGATATCTGGTTCCTTCCCATGCACATCATCAGCTCCTTTAAAAGCTGTAGCGAACCAAACGCGGTTGAAAACCTCGTGCATTCGATAAAGACGGGCCGAATTGACCCTCTCGCCGACGTACTCCCAATCTATCGGCTCCAAATCATTCAATTCATGTTTATAATCCTCCAATTCATATTTCAAGTTGATTCGCTTTTGGGAATAGTTGAATTCCGACCAGAACAGAACTTTGGTATTTGGGCTTAGATCGTTTACTATATTTTTTACATTTATCAGATGTTTGTAGTATATTTGACTGAAAAAAACATCACCATTATAATTATCCAAATCCAAACTAATATTATAAATGCGAACGTAACTCTGTCTGTCTGTCTTTTCTTCACGCAATACTGAACCTATTTGTGTGAAATTTGGTACAGAGACAGGCACAGACAGGCTTTGGCACAGGTTTGTAGGTAACTCGAGAAAGGACATAGGATAGTTTTCAAACCAAAAATCTGCAGGAAATCACTATTTCACGCGAAGACGCGAACAAAGTCGCGGGCAAAAGCTAGTCAACCTATTAGTGCCCACTGATAAGCAAAGGCTTCTTCTCACACGGAGAATATTTGAGCATTAATTACCACACTAGACACCACTGACGTACGTTGAAGGAAAACATCGTGAGGAAACCTGGACTTGTAATTTCTAATTAAGTTTCATGATGATGATATTTAAATATTCATGAATTTCGAGTACTTATATGGGGAAGTAGCGTTCGGCTCTTCTTGTCCTAGAAGAGCTCAGTGGCGTGAAAATGGAGAGGCCTATGTCCAGCAGTGGACGACAACAGGCTGATGATGATGATGTAGAAACATAAAAATGGTCTCTCAGTCTAAACTTTTTTGGATTTTCAGACTGCTCTCAAGTTAAGATCGTCAATCCAAACTAATATTATAAATGCGAAAGTAACTCTGTCTATCTGTCTGTCTTTCACTCTGTCTGTCTTTTCTTCACGCCTAAACTACTGAACCGATTTCTGTGAAATTTGGTACAGACATAGTTTGGAAGTCGAGAAAGGTCAAAGGATAGTTTTTATACCAAAAATCTGCAGATAGTCACTATTCCACGCGAACGAAGTCGCGGGCAAAAGCTAGTCAGCCTATGAGTGCCCACTGATAAGCAAATACACACTGAGAATGTTTGAGCATTAATTACAACGCTGTCTGTCTGTCTTTATTTTCTTCAAGCTTAAACTACTGAACCGATTTCTATGAAATTTGATACAGACATAGTTTGGAACTCGAGAAAGGACATAGGATAGTTTTTATACCAAAAATCTGCAGATAGTCACTATTCTACGCGAACGGAGTCGCGGGCAAAATCTAGTTAATAATACTTACTGGTTCTTCAAGTTCCTTCTTATGCAGTTCGGACAATCATTTATGTTATAGACTTCATCGCAACCGATGTGAATGTATTTTATCGGCTGAACAAAATTATGGAAAGTTATAACCTGAAAAAAAATATACACTTTATCTTTTTCAATAGAGCCACGATGGAGTTTTTTGCTTGTTCTTCTCTATACGAATTCATAGTTTGGAACGAGCAACTAGCTTCACTGAATGAAGGAGATATTAAATGATCTATAAAAAAAGCTTTTAACTGCTCTGAATTTTGTTTTTATTATTACATAAAAAAAACCAGGGACCAGCCCCGGATTCGCACGAGTGCGTTGCTAATACAAAATTTCTCCAATATTTAATGCATGTCATAATACATACAGACATTCCTCTTTAATCACTTTATCTATCAAAAGAGACTGCATCAAAATCCGTTGCGTAACTTGCGTAGTTATAAAGTTTTAAGCATACTAAGGGATATAGGGACAGGATCAGAGACGAACCGGAATTTTACGAAACGAACCTAAATCGTACGAGCCTACGACGGCGAAACACAACGCTGTGATTGTTTCACGCCGGTCTTCTGTAAGGCCGTGGTATCACTCCGGTCGCGCCGAAGCATGGCTCTCCCACACTTCCCACACTATACATTCTAAATGAACTAAATATGATCTACAAACCTGACTCAACATGTTTCGTATTAATTCCAAGCTGCCTGGTTGGCTGGGGCATATTTCACCAGGGTTGTATGGCAGTTCTCTGTGTACACTAAATTCTGCCAATTTGAGCACAAATTCCATATGACCAAATGTTTGGATCAATGGTATCACTTCAATGTCCAGTTTTTTCGCTTCCAACAAAAAGTCCGTGAGCTACAATCAATAAAAATATACTTAATTTAAGTTAAAAACTAAAAACAAAACCAGCTTTTATCAGGTGTCGCACTATAAATACCAGTATTTATCAGCCGGAGGCGGAGCGCGCCGCACCAGGCTACACCCCGGGCGTCGAGCATTGAGAGACGACCTCCGGCCACCGTAAGCGCGGGTCTACGGACGGCGAGTAAGGGAAGTTCGCCGCCCGACCAGAAACAGACCCGAGCGGGTGTAGCGTTCCGCGCGCGCCTCAAAGAGACCACTACAAACGGGGCCCTACAGGGCTGATGTTCAGTCGGGGTTGCAGGGTAAGCGCAATAAGGCACTTGGCGGCCTTGGCATAAAGCAGGAGAAGGCACGGGGGGTTTTTGCCATGGACCGCGGTAATTTATTGCGCTTGCTCCGCAACCCAGGCTACAAAAGGCTATAAGCTATTAAATACCACGACCTGAAGAACCGAGTAAGGAGCAAAACCTTGCAGCAAGGAGGCCACTACCTGCCAAAACAGCTGCAACTCCTGTAAGCAGGATCTACAGTGGATACAATCATGAAAACACCGGAACACCGAAGTCCGCCGCGTCCCAGGGATATGAATGGCTGTCTTGGATCCCGCAACGAAATAAATCAGAAGATATTATTTGAGGAGAAGGAAAAACGAAATAGGTTCCACTTCTCTCGGTAAATTTAATGCAGGAGACAGAATGACTTAAGTCTTAAAGGCACAAAAGAGACTGTACAACTGGGAATTTAGCGGCAGTTATGAATCGTAAGGAGTATATAGGTTCTTATATAAAATTAATATAAGTTACATAGTTATACATACCTCTGTTTTCGTATAAGCTATTTCGGAGCTTAAATTAGCGAGATTCCCTTCATAAGGAAACATATCTTCGTACTCCATCAAAATGGAGTTCACGCCATAATTCTTTAACGTAGGCAGGAGGTTCATCATATAAGTTATCAAAGGAGGCGATCCTTTCAAATCAAAATGTACAGTAACATAATCTATATTAACTTTAACAATATCACCGCCGCTATTTCCAAATTTATAACCGATTAATTGAAATATTAAGCAAATAATTATTAAAATGAACGCGTATTTCTTCACAGATATTTTTCTTAGTATTTTTACGATGTTTACATTCATTGTCAGGCGCGTTAGAGTAGTTTTAGCCTCGGACCCAAGTTGTTTTTTCAATACTGGCTCAGTAACTGGATAATATTATGCACTGGTACGGCTTCAACGCCGGCCGTTAGCTGACTTAGGTAATAAATTATCTTAGTCTTAAGATTATAGGCGTCTTACAGTTCGCCCGTAAAGAATTTTGTTAAAATTCTTTCATTGTGCACAAATCCAAAATGACTGTCTTAAATTCTGCGCGTAATATTCTTCGTAAGAGTATTCGGAGTATTAAAACGTTTTCACACTCAAAAATGTTAGCAAAGTAATATCTATATTATAAATAAATAAAATCTGAAACGAATTATTAAGTATTTCTTGTAACGTCAAAATAAAATTGTCATTGATTTCGTAAAGTAGAATGGGTTAGAAACTCCATGGTTTTATATTTTTCAAGACCTTATTGATACGTTAGGTGATTCATTAGTCAGAATTTTAATTCGATTCCTGGTTTGACATGACCTATTGTCATTTTGTGAAATAATGATACCACATCAGTGTAGTGATGAACACAAAAATCGATAAACAATCAGTGAATCAGTTTCAGGAAGGTATTCAAAAAATTACTGCTACCGAATGGTCTAAAAGCGTATCCCATGTTGTCAAAGAAGAGTAAAAAATGAGCAAGGTAGATATGTTAATTGACAATAACAATCACAGGCACAATTCATAATAAATGTTACAGAAAGTAAGCGACAATTAATAAAAAATCGGTTTTATTTGTCATGTTCCTTCATGATTACATTTTTTATTAATTTCACACACAATTACAAAAGAAAAGTCTCACATCATTAATTAATTCTCAAAATTAAATTATCGGTTCAGAAATATTTTATTTCCTGATAAACTTAGTTTAGAGATTTAATTTATAAACGAGAGGAACTCGATTCAGAAATATTCGATTTCCACATCGAATAATTTAGCAACGTCACTATTTATTATGTGTCATAACGTTGCAGCACTGAAATTGTAAAATCTGGAATGGAATTAAAATTCCGAGTATAGGTCGCCCGGCCCTAGTCGAGACCATGGTTCGTAGCGAGAGGAACTGGGAAGCTGTCTCCTCTTTCTACGAAGCATTGATGGTCGCAAAGGAGGAGGCGAAGTGCGTGAGGGAAATATCCTCCTCGCGCCCCAGCCGCCGCAACAGGCGACACTACGGGCATCGGGGATCGAGGGACGATCTCCGGCCACCGTAAGCGCGGGTCTGCTGTTGGCGAGTAAGGGTAGCTCTCCGCCCGACCAGAAGCAGACCCGAGCGTACGGCGCATAGCGTTCCGCGCGCGCCTCAAAGAGCCAATAGACCACCACAGACAAGGCCATATACAGCTGATGTTCAGCCGGGCTTGCGGGGTAAGCGCAATAAGCCACCGCGGCCTCGGCCCAGAGCAGGTGAAGGAACGAGGGGGTTTTTAGTCAGTAAGAGTCTGACACTATGGGTGAGAGAAGTCATTTGATGTTTTACCTCTCACAAAAAAGGTGGGTCTTTAGGTACATAAATAATATTTTCGTTATCGGATTCTTTGGCTTTATATTAGTGCTTACATTTTTCTCACACTGGAGAACCGATTAAATGATGTAATCGAGAAACTGATTGAAAAAGAGTAACCATGGAGTTTCTTGCTCGTTCTTCTCCATTGGAATCTACACTATGAAACGAGCAAATAGCTTCACTAAGAGGACAGATCGATAGACTGACACTTTTCAACTTTTGATATTCAATTATTTTGTATGAAGTTCGAAAGTGCTTAAGTATTTTTTATGTGATAGGATTGCAACCGAGCAGACGGACTTCCTGATGGTAAGCAATCAGCGCCGCCCATGGACAGCAATGAAAGAATTACGAGTGCGTTGCCGACCTTTTAGGGATTTGGGGATTGGGGAGGAAAGGATTAGGCTTCCGGTAACATCATTCATACGACGTAACACAACTCTGTGGTTGCTTCACGGCGGTTTCCTGTGAGGCCATAGTATCACTCCGGTTGAGCCGACTCAGTTGTGCCAAAACATGGCTCTAAGTACTACAATTGTTATAAGTATGTTATATTTTAAAGAGCTGTTAATACAGATGCGTTTGCAGGTCGTAAGGAAATAAAAGAGGTTTTATTTTGTAATTCACATAACATATATTTATTAATAAACTTTCAAACAATTGGACACGTAAAGCGTTGTATACATAGTTCTATTAAATAATGATATTATTTGTTGAAAGGCATTTACATATTATATGGGAGGGATTACATAGTCTTTATAAGTTTTTGTTTCATTATCTGACGTGACTGAGCTTCACGTAGTTTGTCGGGTGGAAGAATAATAAGGATCTAAATTATGATAATAAGTGGTAGATGTAATGAACAAAAAAAAATTTTTTTTTATGTAATAGGTCGGCAAACGAGCATACGGATTACCTGATGGTAAGCAATCAGCGCCGCCCATGGACACTCGCAACGGAGGAGTTACGAGTGCGTTGCCGACCTTTTAGGGATTAGGGATTTGGAGATTTAGGGATTGGGGGAGGGGAAGGACCGGGCCTCCATTTAAAAAATAGTAAAAATTGTATAGGTATGTAATGACGGGTCCACGATCTATGGGCGAGTGAGTCGACGTCGTCGCTCGCAGCGGTTGTTCTTGTGTCGTATGCTGGGATAGCAGTGAGTGCACACATGCTAGGCGTTAACATGACAAATAATTTGATGTATTTTCCATACGAAACAGGCAGAGTTACCTAAAAGCTATTTGGTTTAGCTCAGCCTCAAAGAACTAAGAGACCACGACAGATAGGGCCCGTTATGGCCTGATTTTCAGCCGGGGAACATTGTAGCTATCTATCAGTGAAAGAATTTTGGCAATCGGACCAGCGGTTCCAAAGATTACTCCCTACATACAAACTTACAAATTTTACCTCCTTATAATATTAGTATGGACTTACTCAAAGAGCTAATAGACCCCCACAGATGGGGCCCAACATGAGCTGATGTTCAGCCGGGGTTGCGGGGCAAGCTTAATAATGTAGAAGGAACGGGCTGGATTTTACTCAGTCAGTAAGAGTCTGACACCCGTTCTAGCCGCACCTAGGGGGGAAGTCATTTAATAATTTTGCCACTTTAATTACAAGGCTCTGTATTTCTTATTATCTTCTTTATATATATAAATGGATCGCAAAATGTGTTGGTAAGCGCATAACTCAACAACGCCTGGACTAATTTTGTTAATTCGTTTTTTGTTGTGTTTGTTATTGTCAGGAGAAGGTTTTTATCAAAGAAAATATTAGAAAAGTAGAGGGGAAGATTAGGAAAAGGGGACCCTTTGATAGCGAGTTAGTAGGACCCGTGCGGAGCGGGGGCGGGCCGCTAGTACCAAATAAAATTACTTGACAAAGACAAAGTATAAAGAGAAGGGCAGTAGGCTATCTCCGGCTCATGCCGCGATATAATTGCCTACTGTCTTAGGGTTGCCACTTTTAGTAAAATTTTAATTCAGTGCCTAATAATTGGCAAGGGTCGGGAAGTTGTATTTTTTACTTGTATTGTCTGGGTACAGGGTTTGTGAGGTGTGACTCTTTTGCGGTGCGTTTGTATGAAGATAACCTACTTCCCTTCTCTTTATACTATGACAAAAATATATTTAATTTGTGAATTATTTATATAATTTTACCAGAACTTATGATCAGTGACAGATTACTAGATAATTGATGCACTAAACAATGCACGCCTGTGGGCCCGTATATCAACTAGAATTGGTCCTTAAACCTTTACTTCCTAAAAACATTAGTTTTCTCTATACTAATATTATAAAGAGGTAAAATTTGTAAGTTTGTATGTAGGGGGTAATCTTTGGAACCGCTGCGGTCGGATTGCCAAAGTTCTTTCACTGCAATAGCTACAATGTTCCTGATTGCTATAGGCTATATAAAACATCACGCTACAATCAAATGAAGACGAGCAGCGAGTGAAACCGCGCGGGAGTATCTAGTGTAAAATAAGATGATGAGATGTAACATACCTTAGAAGTCAAGTAGATGCGACAATAATAAAAAACAAAGCATAATTTATTTTTCTGAAGGGTTCTTTTTGCTCTACATTTATGCGTCAGATAGCCAAAACTTTTGCAGACTCTGTGTAGTAACTCCTCAATATCATAAAAACGTACCTACATATAAGTAGATTTCGCGAAAATAGTTTATTTTTTCTTAACACATACGTATGTAAAGGCTGTCTATATATATATTCAAAGCACAATTTAATATATAATATTATATTTATCTAGGTATACCTATAGTTACAGAAATATATACTTATTATTCAATTTTAACAGTGTATTCTACAAAAATTCGTGTGTTTTTATACTAAGCCGACCAATAGTGCATGCTAAGTATACCTATTTAGCTAACGACACATAAGTATAATGAATTACCATAACTAGTCGTTTTCGTAACTGATCGAGATTGCTCGACTAGTTTCGAACCATGACCGAGGTTCATAATCATAGTAACATGTAGTGTAGCCAACTGAAACGAGGATATGTCCCGATCGTGCTTTAAAACAGTACTAGGGATACCTTCTTTTCTGGTTTTCTTTCCTTCCAACTAAAGAAAGAAGTGTTAAAATAAGTAGGTTTTTATGTAATAGGTCGGCAAACGAGCAGACGGATTGCCAGATGGTAAACAATCAGCGCCGCCCGTGGACTCCCGCAATAACGGATGAGTTATAGGAGCGTTGCCGGCCTCCTGGAGATTTGGGTATTTGGGCCTCCGGTAACCTCAATTACACGGCAAAACTCAACGCTATAGTCGCTTCACGCTTTTCTGTGAGGCCATGGTATCATCTTTGTCAAGCCAATCCATACGTACCAAGCTTATCACTCCCAAACTTCACAGATTCTAGTTAAGAAGAATCCTGGCAAGTACCAATGTGACTTCTTCCGAGTTATATGTACTTTCTATGATTATTTAGACACCACTGACATACGGTGAAGTTAAACAACGTGAGGAAACCTGGACTTATAATTTCTAAATTAATTATTATGTTTTCGGCTTACTCACGTAATTATTTGACGAGATACTCGACTAGTCGCGACTAGTCGCCGCGTCACGTGTCGCGGAACGCTTCTCATGAATATGGGCCTCTAGCATGGCTTGAAACTAGTCGAGTATCTCGTCAAATTATTACGTGAGTAAGCCGAAAACATAACAATTAATTTAGAATTAGTCACGGAAGTTATAATAAAAATTATAATTTCTAACTATAAGTTTGAATTTCCCCTTGAGCAAACCTTATCCGTATGAGAAGAGGCCTTTGCCCAGCAGTGGGCTCTTATAGGCTGATGATGATGATACACAACGGTAAGTATACCTTACTCCAATCATGTATTGATTCCCTTGTATTTCACTCTCTATGAACCTACTGCCAATATATCGGGCAGTTATCCTGCTGTTAGGTATTAATATTTTTTGTCGCTAATCGAAACAGCATCAAAAGATAAAACTCATTTTTTAAAAGATCACCTGATGTCCACATATAGGCAGTGTTGCCAGCTTAAAAAAAGAATTACTTAAACTTTTCAAGGTCGTATTGTAAATATTTTTTTAAATTATTACTTAAAGGCTGATGACGATGACGATGATGAAAAAAAAGAAAAACAAACAAAAAGAAAATAAGTAAAATATTTATATTATCAGCTTAACAACAGATCTACGGTACACTTAATTAAAAATAAGGAGTACTTGACAGAAATAGAAAAAATAAAAAAAAAAGACGAAATCTATCGAATCCGTTCTTTAAGCGCTAACTACCCTCTTTTCTATTAATGTACTCAACTTATTAACTTTGAAAACATTACAACCACATTTTTGCTTTCAAGTACTCTTAAACCCTGGTCATATAAATAAATAAATGAATGTTTTTTTATTGTGACAACACTGAAATGTCAATTTTTTTATTGAGACATATTTTTTTTTGTTCGATACTGGCACAACCTTTACATACCACTGGAAACTGTAACCAAAGGACCTCACAGCGGAAATCCTGATGGTAAGCAATTACCGACGCCCTTATACACCCACAGCACCAGAGAAGTTACTAGTGAGTTTTTTAACGCCGGTTTTCAGTGAGGCAGTGATGTTTATTGACTTTTGACATTCAAAAATTGATATTTCAGCGTTATCTCGTAATGGAATGAAGACACATCGGTTTTATCAATTACAACAACATTTTTTCTTAGTAACCCCCTAAAATATTTCAATTTTATTTATTTCTTTATTTATATTATTTATATTTATTTATTTTTTGTCCAAGAAAATTAAACCCACACGGATTGGACATGGTCAGGTAGTAATGTCAATTATAATTATAATTTTTTTATGTACGTACGTATGTATTATCTAAATACTTACAGTCGATTTAAAAAAAAATAAAAAATATATTTTCATTCTTAATTATAAAGAATATAATTAGAGTATTTTTATACAATGGTTATAAATATGCATTGAAATGTGTTGAAAACAGAATTAATGTCAAAAAGTTTTTTTTTATATAATTTTAAACACAGTAATGTACACAGAAAAACCAAAGAATTATATTATTTTATTACAACTCTTGCAAGCCATATAATATTAAATTCAATTTGTGTCAAGTCAACTCGATCAGTTTCAAGTGATTCGAAATCAGTCGGGTTAACTTGAAAAACATTTACAGTAGATTTTTTGTAAAAATTATATAATACAAGAAATGTTTAGACCATTGTATGAAAACACTTACCATCGTATTTAGAGTAATTTAATTGTTACTTAAAAAAGTCCTAAGGAAAGGAATATTGTCTGAGTAGAACCATTACTAAGGAAAGTTTTAAGTAACCGTTAAAATCTCTGAGTACGACAGCGAAAGTAATTCCTTAACATTTTCATTACACATACAATTATAATAAATTAAGATTCAATGTCGTTGAAATAGCACACCATACAATAATTTTATGAAAATAAACTTTTTTTATAGTTTCAAAACAAATGCATATCAACACTAGGTTCGGCCCGCGACTTGGCCTGCGTGAAATATTGACTTCTGCAGCTTTTAGGTTTAAAAACTATCCTAAGTCCTTCAATTTGAAATAAAAAAGCTAGCTCAATGTTTAAGACCTGGACTAAACAAAACCCTTGTTTAGTTATAAGTTGTTTCAGTTGACTGTAGAAGCTTCCTTAGTACGTTCGATTTGAATTCGTGAGAATATTATCCGCTGTAAGCGTAGAACACTTTATAATAATTTACGGTGCTAAATTCGTCAGAATTATTTTCTTGATCTGAGAACCTGTATTTTTACAATTTTTGACCGGATATAGACAGGAACCGCGCTAAAAGTGGATGCTTAGACGTCGCCTGCGAATTTAATTTTTGAATAATTTTATATCGTAAGACTTGGTAAATTTATTGATAATAACCACTTACTCACGTGAATTTTAAGTGAGAAAAGCCTCTCTTATTAATTACTAACCTGCGCAGGTTACTAATTAATAAGAGACTGTAGACTTGAAACTAGTAGAAGCTTTTCTGACTTCATTCTCCTGAGAAAGTCGTTTATTCATTCTTAATAGCACCTTTTCACTAAGGGCTGATTTTTCAATAGTCAGATAAATGTTATCTAAGGAATAAAATTGTTGCTGTCACTGTCTTATACAAACATTCTGACGCGACAGCACCATAATTATTACCCAAGTAACTTTTATCTAACCATTGAAAAATCAGCCCTAAAGGTTCTGCAAAAACATACAAATCTATATTTTATCATCACACAATCCTTTATCGATGTGTAAATTGCAAAAAAGATGAAAAAAATCGATTTTCGCAGGAGACCTTAAAAACATCCGCTTTGAGAAAACTTTTATTGAATCAAAATGGGCATATTAATACATAAAAATTTGAATATTTCTGTCTATCATTAAAGTTAATTAACAGGGGTCATTTTAGCTTATTTATCTCCGTCCAATCCATGGGTTTGTGTGGGTATTTTAGTTCAATGGGGACATGTATGTGATATCGTCCCATGGGTGGCGGTAGAGGGGTTGCTTCATACGTTTCTGGTCTAGGTAGTGGCCAACCAGACCGATAGTACGGCCGAGGACAAACAGAGCGTTGATTGATCCCATTGATATATAATTGTTTCCTTCCTCCCTGTAAAAAGAGAAATTTTGTTTTAGATAATCATTTCGAAATTATACAAGGCTTACACCCGGTTTCTGAAAGGCTTGTCAAGGCTAAAATTAACTAATCTCCTGTTAAATCTCTTGTCAAGTCATCTGATTGGTTGTTGATAATTCAGTCAACCAATCAGGTGACTTGACAAGAGATTAAATTGATTTTAACATTGATCGGCCTTTCGGAAACCCTGTGTTAGGTGGTTAACTTAACGTAGAAAATCTTGGTATGGCTTTTTATATTAAAAAGTTCTCATTATTTCGGGTCTGGGTGTGATATGTGGTATGATGGGTATGATGTTGATGTGTGTGGTAGCACACCACACAAACATATAATTTCAGGCCCAGACCCGGAGGTTAAGGCCCCGCTTCTTATGTATGAGGATGAGGAAACCTGGCAAGTACCAATGATGCCAAAAAAAAACGTTTTCCGAGTTTTATGTACTTTCTATGATTTCTCAACGTTATCATTGTGTTTATCATTTCTAAAAGTTTAAAATCACCTATCCAATTTGAGCAAGCGTCGGTTGGCTCAAACTTTGCCCGTATGAGAAGAGGCCTTTGCTCAGCAGTGAACACTTATAGGCTGATGATGATGATGATTAGAAACTCAGCCACGACATAGGACAAGATCCTAATGCGGTTCATTTAATATTTTAAAATTAAAAATATAATAATACTGACTGTGTAAACAGCTGGCAGTGTCTGAACATATCGACCATGGCGGCTGCGACGATACCGTCGACGTTGAGGATCAGGTTGGGCTTCTTCCGCGTGGTGATGGCTTCCACGTCCAGGGCGTAGCGAGTGACTGGCCACGCGGGCCAGCGAGACGTCACGTAGGCTTTCAACTCACGAACTCTTGAGTCCGGATTGTTTATTGATTTTACTCTGTAATGGAGACAAATATAGATTCATCATCATCTCTACATCACCTAAGGCTCTACTGGTAGAAAATTTTAAATGTGGGAGAGTCAAGCTTCGGCACGAATGGATCGGCTCGACCGGAGTGATACCACGGCCTCACAAAAAACCGGCGTGAAACAACCACAGCGTTCAATCAAACCCCCTTCCTTATCCCTTCCCATTCCTTAAATATCCGCAGCCCTTATCCCCAAAAGGTCGGCAACGCACTCCTAACTCCTTTCGTGTTGCAGGTGTACATGGGCGGCGCCGATCGCTTACCATCAGGTAATCCGTCTGCTCGTTTGCCGACTTATACCATAAAAAAAAATATAATAGTGTCTAAATTTATAATAACTAGTCCCCTATAGTTTATGGGTTTAGGTGGTTCACTAAAGGTAAACAATGTTGGTATGTCTTTTTACTTATAACTTCCTTTTGCTTGTCTGAGGATCTGAGAAAACACGCTGGATTCATCGGAATTATTAAAAAAAAAGTAGGGAGACACTATGAGGCAAGTACCAATGTGAGTTTTTCCGAGTTATATATACTTTCTATGATTATTTAGACACCACTGACATACGGTGAAGGTAAACATCGTGAGGACACCTTAATATAGTCTAGCCGTTTTGGAGTGATTGAATAACAGACATGCAAACATCGTAACTTTCGCATTAATAATATTAATAAGATGATGTACCTGTGCCCAATACCCATGATGAGTTCTCCCTTGGCTCGCTTCTCGTTGACGAACTCCTGCGGATGTTGGCCGCGGTCGTACGCCGCGCAGAAATCTAGCGCAGCGCGGTCGAGGGCTCCTCCGAAACGATCACCCTAGAAGACAGAAGAATATAATACATTTATTTATTTAAACTTTATGCAACAAAACATTACATAGGCGGACTTAATGCCGTAGGCATTCTCACCAGTCAACCTTAGGGTGATGCAGAGAGAGTATGGTAGGTGCAACAAGAAGAGAATTTTGAGACGATAAATACATACAATATATCTACATATAAATAAATCTGAGAATATTTGTTATATTGAAATAACTTATTTTTACTACAAATAATACGTGTAAAATTTCTGTTTGTTTCGGGTAATCTTTGGAATGGCTGGAGCGATTTTGACAGGACTTTTCTTTTCAGGTAGAAATAATAATATTTTACGAGTAGCAGTATTTTAGCTTAGAAGTCGCGAGTATAAGCTAAAATGAAATAAGAAGAAAATAAGTGTGGGGGAGCCATGTTACGGAACAAATGGGTCGGCTTAATCGGAGTGATACCACGGCCTCACAGAAAACCGGCGTAAAACAACCACAGCGTTGTTTCGTCGTATGAGTGAGGTTACCAGAGGCCCAATCCTTCCTCTCCCCCAATCCCTAAATCTCCAAATCCCTAATCCCCCAAAAGGTCCTTAACGCACTCGTATCTCCTCTGTTGTTGCGTGTTTCCCTGGGCGGCGCTGATTGCTTACCATCAGGTCACCTTTCACATAAAAAGAAAGAAGCCATTTGATGATGATTTGCCGCTCACAAAGTCCTAAATGACATTAGATGTCTCAAATATTGGCTATTAAATGGTATGACCATTTGATTTATTGGCAAACTATGGTAAACAATAGTTCCATGACTCATAGAACTATTATACTATTCTATTTTATATTATAATCATCATCAGCCTGTTGTCGTCCACTGCTGGACATAGGCCTCCCTAATTGCACGCCTCTGAGCTCGATATTCAGCTCTTAGACATAGCCCAAAGGATTAGCAAACTGAAGTGGTAGTGGGCAGGTCACATCTGTCGAAGAACCGATGACCGCTGGGGTAAACATGTTCTAGAGCGGAGACCGCGCGGGTCTGCGGTAGGCGAGTAAGGGCAGCTCGCCGCTCGACCAGAACCAGATCCGAGCGTACGGCGCGTAGCGTTCCGCGCGCGCCTCAAAGAACCAATAGACCACCACAGACGGGGCCCTATAGGGCTGATGTTCAGCCGGGGTTGCGGGGTAAGCGCAATGAGGCACCGCGACCTCGGCCCAGAGCAGAAGAAGAAACAGGGTTTTTAGTCAGTAAGAGTCTGACTCTCCCTCCTGCCCCGCCCTGGGCGGGAGAAGTCATTTGATGATTTTCCCCTCACAAAAAAAAATAACGTCTAGGCAAACGACCTCCAGCTAGGTGGACTGACGATATCCGTAAGGCTGGCAGTGGTTGGATATTATATTATTATATTTAAACTCACAATAGTCAACAATCCGCTGACGACTGAAGAGATGAGATCCTTCCCGGCTCTTGCGGTGACCATCGTGTTATGTGCCCCGGACACGGCCGGTCCATGGTCAGCCGTCACTATTAGAACCAGCTCGAAGAACTTCGTTGCCCATTCTGGTAACTCCCGTTGGAACCTGTTGTAGAAATGTGTATTAAAATTATATTATGTCTTAATTAGGTTCAAAAGTCAAATCATTTATAGTCAGTCAGTCATTTCTATTAGCAGTTTTAAATGACAAACAATTTGGTAGTTTCCTAGGTCAAAATTAAATAATTCGACGTTTCAATACAATAAAATATTGAATAATAACTATTCTTTCATTCATCAATCGATCGATACACTAAGTTTTAAATATTTTGTAGCTAATTATTAAGAAATAAGTAAGCTATTTGACTTTGAAATACTATGACGTTATAACTCAGTTTTTTTATAGAAAAGTATAGTTTTTGACATTTGGATAAAAGTATTGAATTTGACTAGTTGGAAACTACCGTATTGTTTTTTATGTCATCGGTCGGATTACCTGATAGTAAGCAATCAGCGCTACCCTGCACTTGTAGTAACTACTTTTAACACTTAAAGCAGTCACCCACACCAACGAGCGGACGGATTACCTGACGTCCGCTCGTTGGTGTGCCTAACCTAAACCTAAACCATTAACCACCTAAAACCGAACCTAAACCATTACAAAAGTCTTTGGAAATACGAGTGTCGATGCGCGGCGCTGTTTGCGACATTCTCGTCACAAAATGTCCTAACGTCCTTCAAGTAACATCCTAATACTCACCACAGCAAACTGATAGTGCCTCCGACCCCCATCTGCCTCTCGAGGACCTGGCTTATAGGCACCCCGCAGTATGAGAGCTCGTTGCCGCGCTCGTCGCATATCGTGCTAATGAAGGCAGCCGGCTTTCTGATGATGCCCAGTTTCTATAAGGTAGAGTGATTAAATGTTTTTTTTTTATGGTATAATTCGGCAAACGAGCAGACGTATAACCTGATGGTAAGCAATCAACGCCGCCCATGGACACCCGCAACGGAGGAGTTACGAGTGCGTTGCCGACCTTTTAGGGATTAGGGATTTGGAGATTTAGGGATTGGGGAAGGGTCCAGTAAGGGGAAGGATTGGGAAGGATGATTAATAAAAGTGTAGGAAAGCCATACTTCGACACGAACGGGGCGGCTCGACTGGAGTGATACCACGGCCTCACAGAAAACCGGCGTGAAACAACCACAGCGTTGTGTTTCGCCGTGTGAGTGAGGTTACCGGAGGCCCAATCCTTCCTCTCCCCCAATGCCTCCTCAATCCCTAAATCCCCAAATATATATAATAGCTCTTACCCGCGGCGTCGCTCCCGTCATTTGACTACCTACCCTACTTTACCTACCCTACTCGGTTTTCGGGGAGGGTCCGCTAGTAGATGTATATATTATGTAAAAGAAGCGATAGAGGTATTTTATAAACGTGTCATTTGACATGTATGTTTATTAGAAAACTTAATCAGGAATCGGCAAGCTTCGAGCGGCCAAAACGTCATTCATCGCTCAAGCCGCTCACGATTATGAGCCCCGAGCTTGGCTTGTAACTAGACGGGTTATCCTGTCAGCCGTTAGTTAAGTATAACAGTGGATAGACTACTCACTCTCGCCCAGTCGTAATCCATGGGTACTTTGGGTGGTTCCACCTCCTCCTTGACGATGATCTTGCCTTCCTTCACCAGCTTCTGGTAGACCTGATAAACAATAAATAAAGTTGTATATTTGTTTTTATCGTACTTAATTATCGATAATACGTAAAATTTATATTCTGAGACAGAATTGCGTTGATTGTAATAATAATTAAAAACAATAACACAATTGGGTAGTTTTAAAGGTCAAAAATAAATTATATTGACTTTTCAATACAATGAATTATAAAAATATAATCATACCTTTATTCATTGATTTGACTATATATTTCCTTTTCATATTTTTTTTATTAATTTAACTTTAAAAAGTAAGTATGCTGTTTGACTTATGTCATAAGTGATAATATGTATGTTGCCATTTCATACAAAATTCATAGGAAAGTCTAGGTTTTTTACATTTCCATAAAAGTATAGAATTTGACTAGTTGGAAACTACTGATTGTTATCCCTGTACTAATTGCATTGTCATCAAAATCAATTCACCAGGGATGACGTAAAACGTCGAAGACTTACAAACATCCATACATGCAAACATTCATTTTTGTAATATTACTTAGTATGACTTTCAAAGGGCATTCCTTAAAAAATGAAAACAAAATGAAAAAATCTTTATTTAAAACTGGCTGTCCCGCGGTTTCACCCGCTGCTCGGCTATTACAGATCATAGCATGATGTTTTATAATAACTAACGCACACAAAAATAATTATTCAATTCGAACCAGTACTTCCTGAGATTAGCGCGTTCAAACAAACAAACTCTACAGCTTTAAAATATAGATTGCGTACCTTATTAACAGCGACTCCGAGGGTATCGAAGGAGTCTGGCACCTCGGCTCCGTACGCCTTCAGCGCTGCGTTCTTAGCCACGGCCTTTTCTACAGCGGAACCAGCGAGAGAACCCGCGTGGCCGAACTGTACTTCTGACGTGAACATGTCTGTGGAAAAGAGATATATTATTATTACTTTTTTTATAACAAATTAGCTAATTTCACGCGGTTTCACTTGTTGCTCGACTCCATTTGATTGTAGCGTGATGTTTTATAGCCTATAGCACTCAGAAACATTGTAGCTATCTATCAGTGAAAGAATTTTGGCAATCCGACCAGCGGTTCCAAGGATTATCCCCTATTTAAAAACTTATAATTACCTCTTTATAATATTAGTATAGAATAGATTGGAATTCGATTTCTTTTAAAACCGAATTCAAATCGTTTTGATGGCCTGGAAGTTAATTCAGGCCCTTTTCTTATGCATGAGGATGCGAAACCTGGCACCATCTAACCCCATACTAATGTGACTTTTTCCGAGTTATATGTACTTTCTATGATTATTTAGACACCACTGACATACGGTGAAGAAAAACATCGTGAGGAAACCTGCACTTACACTAATTACAAGTTACAAATCGCCAATCCGGTTTGAGCGAGCGTGGTGATTAAAACTCAAACCTTCTCCGTGTGAGAAGAGGCCTTTGCTCAGCAGTGGGCACTTATAGGTTGATGATATTAGTGTATTTAGGTAACAAAGACTATAGTTCCCTAATATCGGAAAAGATACTCCGACCAGGCGAGGTGATCGTCTCATCCCGCCTGGGGAGCAGGATTGTCGCACGTGTCGAGAACTTTTATACCGCGATGTAGATTCTCGAACGTGATTGGTGCTGTAACTGTTGCTGCATGTTGTGCGATAGATGTCGCTACAAGTACTATTGTACTCTATAGGCAGAATTTTAATTCGATTCCACATTTGACAATAAATACTGTCATTTTGTGACATAATGATACCACATTATAATGGTGTAGTAATGAGCACCAAAATCGATAAACAATCGCTTTGGTTTTTTGCTTTAGTCTGTGATTTTTGAAAGTAAAGTGAACTTAGACTAGCAGAATGTCGAATAAACACTTCTAAACAGATTAGTCTTATAAAATAAAACAGATTAATCTGTTTTATTTGTCACATTTTTTTATTCATTTCACACACAATTATAAAAGAAAAGTCTCAGATCGTTAATTAATCGTCAAAACTAAATTATCAGTTTAGAAATATTAAATTTCCTGATATGCTTTGTTTACGAGAGTAAAATTATAAACGAGAGGAATCGATCCGAAAATACTCGATTTCCATATCGAATAACTTCGCAACGTCACTATTTAGTACTTGTCATAACGTTGCAACACTGAAATTGTCAAATCTGGAACGGAATTAAAATTCCAAGTATAGAACAAAGCTAGTACTCACCGGAACAGGTTCCGATACACCACGCGACGATGGGTTTCTTGATCTTTCCATCCCTGATGGCGCGACACACGTGGTATTCCTCCACTCCTCCAACTTCACCGAGCAGGACTAACATCTTAACGTTGGGGTCTGTCTCGTATCTGGGGGTTCCAAGGTTGATTTACATGAGAATTCGGCACGAATGGGACGGCTCGACCGGAGTGATACCACGACCTCACAAAATACCGGCGTGAAACAACCCACAGCGTTGTGTTTCGCCGTGTGAGTGAGGTTACCGGAGGCCCAATCCCTCCCCTTCCCCTATCCCTTTCCAATCCTTATATCCGCAATCCCCATCCCCAAAAGACCGGCAACGCACTCGTAACTCTTTTGGTGTTGCGGGTGTCCATGGGCGGCGCCGATTGCTTACCATCAGGTAATCCACCTGCTCGTTTGCCGACTTACACAGAAAAAAAGAATTAGTTTTATATTTCTGTGTATGTAAGAGCCGTGGATCATATAGGTTGAGTCGACAGGAGTTATACCAAGGCTTTGGCATTCAGCAAGAAAAGGAACGTGGGGGTTTTTAGTCAGTAAGAGTTTAACAGTACCTCTCTCCTTCCTAGGACGAAAAAAGTCATTTGATGATGATTTTTTTAACGTTGCCTTTTAATAGAATTTTCTCCGGTATCGTTACACACATACACTCGGTACAAAAATTTGTGGATCACACACAGTTATTTCGTTGGGGAATCGAAACCAGGACACGTTGCGCTGCAGCCAGTAGCCCAGCTATCGTGCCATCCGTACAGTCAATGAGTTCTCTCGCTCTGGATGAGGCGAGAGGGAGTGTCAGACTCTTACTGACTAAAAACCACCCTGATCCTTTTGCACTCGCAACAACGGCTGGATGACGTCATACATTCTTTTTTTATGTGATAGGTCGGCAAACGGGCAGACGGATTACCTGATGGTAAGCAATCTGGAAGCCGACCTTTTAAGGATTAAGGATTAGAAGAAGGGAAAGATTGGGGTTCCAGTAACCTCACTCACACGGCGAGACACAACGCTGTGGTTATTTCACGACGGTTTTCTGTGAGGCCGTGGTATCCTCTGGTCGAGCCGACCCATTTGTGCCGAAACACGGCTTTCCCACACTTATACACATTAATGTTGCGATTTCATACAAAATTCATAATTAAAGTATTATAATATTTGTAACTAGTTGGAAACTATCGTATCACATTATTTGGCTCCTTACCTCATGAGGTGGTCAATGAAGGTGGTTCCAGGGTACCGATCCCCTCCGATGGCGACACCCTCGCAGACTCCGTCCGCGTCCTTAGAGATGATATTGTTGAGCTCATTGCTCATACCTCCCGAACGGGATACGTACGCTACGCTGTGGAGGAGAAAGATGGAGTTTTTTTTAACCATTCTTAATATATAAATGTCAATGTGGTGGTGGGCCGGAGGTTAAGGCCGTCCGTTTCTCATGCATGAGGGTGTGGGTTCGAAACCTGGCAAGTACCAATGTGACTTTTTCCGAGTTATATGTACTTTCTATGATTATTTAGACACCACTGACATACGGTCAAGGTAAACATCGTGAGGAAACCTGGACTTATAATTTCTAATTATAAGTTTGAAATCGCCAACCCGCATTGAGCAAGCGTGGTGATTTATGCTCTAACCTTTTCCGTGTGAGAAGAGGCCTTTGCTCAGCAGTGGGCACTTATAGGCTGATGATGATGATGAATATATAAAAGTGGATCGCAAAATGTGTTGGTAAGCGCATAACTCAACAACGCCTGGACCAATTTTGCTAATTCTTTTTTTGTTGTGTTTGTTATTGCCAGGAGAAGGTTCTTATCAAAGAAAATATTAGAAAAGTAGAGGGGAAGATTAGGAAAGAGTGACCCTTTGATAGCGAGATAGTTGGACCCTTGCAAAGCGGGGGTGGGCCGCTAGTATCATATAAAAATTTGTTATTATGTTACAAATTACAGTCGCTGGTATTACTTCATATTCAAATTCTTTATGAGCATTCTATATGTTAAATGACAGGTTACATTTTTGGGATTAAAATCAATATGGACCCAGTAGGGCACAGCTAAAAGATATCATACAGTAACATAATTTAGAAATTGAGGTCGATTGTACACTTTTTCAAGATGTTTTTTTATTAATTTCTCTTCGTATAAACCTTCTCTGGACTTGGGGGCATCCATAAATTACGTAAGGTGTTTTCTTAAATTTCCTGCCCAACCCTGGTGAGATGTCGTGAGATTTCATTCAACCCCCTCCCCCATCCCCGAATCTCACGTGAGCCCCCCTTCCACGAATAATTCAAGACCAAAATTAGCCAAATCGGTAAAGACATTGTTGAGTTATAACATTACAACGAAACGTGGAATTGATTTATACTAATTCTACTCCCAAAAACCATCACAAATCAAATTCCAGCCAAAAATCATTAGGGCTGATTCCGAGATCACACGTTTTTCAAACAATCAACGCCATCTGCCGGACTGATTTGTGAATGTAAACCGTATAGCGCACTCAAACGCATACAGAAAAATCCATTTAAATCGGTCAAGCCGTTTAGGAGTAGTTCAATGACATACACACTTATAGTAGAATTGTGTTTATAAAAAGAGATACAATACTGTCAACGTATCTTGGCGAGTCTGAAGTTAGCCGATTAGCTGCGCAGTACACAATATTGTTCCTAAAAGATCCATTGCTCGGACAAACGGCTAACTTCTGTTGCTCGTTCTTCTCCATTCGAATCTACAATTTGGAACGAGCACCTAGCTTCACTGACGAACAGACTGACAGACTACTTCTCTATTTTGACGTTTCAAAAGTACCTATTTATGGTTTAGTTGGAATAAATGATTTTGACTTTGACTTTGACTTTAGACTCGCCAAGATACGTCGGCCGTACTGTACATATAGTGATACATACCTTCCAGGTCTGTACAGCTTGCTATCAATGATATTGTCAATCATTCCCGCTGTATTACCGATCTTGAAGCATCCAGGTTTGATTCCACCTACTGTCGCCGGACCGATTATGTTTACCTGGAAACAAATTAATATTATATCATATCCATAATAATTAATATTATATATATTATATAATATCATCAACCTTTAAGTAATTACTGAGCAAAGGCCTCTTCTCATACGGAGAAGGTATTGAGCATTAACCACCACGCTTGCTCAAGGCGGATTGGCGATTACAAACTTGTTGATTACAAATTAAGACTTCATTTTCTTCACCGTATGTAAGTGGTGTCTAAAAAAAATTAGAAAGTACATATAACTTTGAAAAAGTCATATAAGTAACTTGCCAGGTTTCGAACCTGCGCCTCTTGCATGAGAAGTGGCCGCCTTAACTACCAAGCCACCAACGGTGTACATTATACTCAAGATGGCAAACGAGCTGACGGATTACCTGATGGTAAGCAATCAGCGCCGCTCATGGCCACTCGTAATATTGGAGGAGTTATGAGTGCCTTTTGGAGAATAGGATTTCGAAGATTTAAGGATTTGGGAGGGGAAGGATTGGGCCTCCGATAACCTCACTCACGCGGCGAAACTTAACGCTGTGATTGTTTCACGGCGGTATTCTCTAAGGTCTTGATATCACTCCGGTCGAGCCGACCCATTCGTGCCGAAGCATGGCTCTCCCACTCTTATATGAGGAAAATTGACAATCCTACTTACCCCTCTAGTATCAGCGAGTTTGATGATCTTCCTTGTCATATTCTCAGGGATACCTTCAGCGATAATGACGATTGTGTTGATCTGGGGATGTTGCATGGCCTGCGGAACAAATAAAAAAAGATATAATAAAATAATAATAGTAATTAATAGTAAATAGTAATAAATCCGCAAGGCAGCTTGTGGCGAGCTGTTGGGCAGTGGCGACCCCACGGACCTGACTCCCGGGAGGTGTCTTGTTCTTCACCTCCGGTTAGTCCTTGTAACTAGCTGGAGTGAACACTGATGAGGAACAAGCCCGAGTGAGTGGAGATTCGCAAGAGTAGGAATTGAAGGAGACTCGGGGGAAGGAACTCGAACGTACTTCCGGGATTGCTCTGATAGCCGTGGGATGCCTCTCCTTCCCCAAGCAGCTCAACGTATGTTGCCCCCGTGTCGCTAAATGCTAGCGACCCTGCCTGTTTACTTGTATATTTCAATATTGATTAAGGGTAGGGCCTATAGTCCTTCCATACTTCCCATCATATCAGTCCATAGCAACTTACACCCATAGCCCTTGTTTCCATTATCCGCAATAGTATGATTCTGATTCATTTCATATATTTGATTTATTTATGATATATTTGATTTTGACGTGTAAAAGTGCCGTTTTATGGCCTATTTGCAAAAAAAAAAACATTGTTTCATTGTTTTCTATACAAATGAGTTTGTTTGGTAAAGATGTTTGTTATCATGATTTTCAACATCGTCTCCGCCGGAGATGGAAGCAAACGCGCGTGGTATCCGGCAGATGGCGCGCTGGACTCGCACGCTGCTCATGAGGAAGAACCCCTCTGTGGTTCTCTCACAGCTTATCTCTATTTACACACGAGAGTAACCCGCGATTTTAAGTTAATTTAGTACAATCACTTGCTTTGAATATCGGCCACTAATCACCAATACCAGTCACCCTATATAAAATGGTCTCGTTAAAGTCTAGGGTCGAAATAAAAAGATATTTCTGTAAAATTTTATAGAAAAAAGGTTATAGAAAGATCTATTTACCTGCATGGTACTATCGTAAGCGGACCGTAGAGACGCAAAGTTGACGAGGACAGTCGCTTCTTGGTGCTTTCGCATCGAAACATCCATGTCAGAATACACTGAAATAAAAACATTATTTATTTTTGTATACTTGACTAGCTACTCTCGCGCGGTTTCACCCGCTGCTCGGCTCCTACAGATCGTAGCGTGATGTTTTATAGCCTATAGCACTCGGGAACATTGTAGCTATCAGTGAAAGAATTTTGGCAACCCGACCAGTGGTTCCAAAGATTACCCCCTACATACAAACTCACAAATTTTACCTCTTTATAATATTAGTATAGACTAATTTCGTGATGGCCGGAAGGTTACGGCGACCGGAGTAATACCGCGGTCTTACAGAAAACAGGAGTGAAAGAACCACAGCATTGTGTTCTGCCGTGTGAGTGAGGAGGCTCAATCCCTCCCCTTTTTCCCATATTCTCAATCCTAAATATCCGAAAAGCTTATCTCCAAAAGGCCTCATAACTTCTTTGGTTTTACGGGTCTCCATGGGCGGCGCAGATTGTTTACCATCGGGTAATCCGTAATACCAAAGGCTTTACTACAACAAGTTGTGGGTTATTAGGGATTCAGAGATTGATGACGGGGTAATGATTGAAAGCTAGTAGACCTTTCACATGTAATTGAAAAAATGATTATTTTCTATTTAATACAAAAAATTAAATATTTTTCCTTAAGGTTATTTTCTTTTAATGTTTCTCTGTATATTAGCGTTACACTGTTCTCACATAATCAAACCAACTATGTGACAGTGATTTAAAAAGAGTAACCTTGGAGTTTCTTGCTCGTTCTTCTCCATAGGAATCTACTTTGGAACTAGCAAATAGCTTCACTCGAGGACTGACCAACAGACTGACACTTTCTATCTTTAAAATTTTGTTTGACGTTCAAAAGTGCCAGTGTGAGTCTAATTGAAATGGTTTTGACTTTGACTTTAAAAAAATCATTTATATAAACTTACCGGGTATGAAGACTTCCTTGTTACCGAAGTAGTACTTCTGTTTGTGGTCGGCTGTAAATGGGTACACGATGGCGACGACTGACGGCTCCGAGCGACGGCAGATGTAATCGAAGTCCAACATGCCCTGTGGTGAACGGTAATGTAGTGAACAATACGGTAGTTTCCAACTAGTCAAATTCAATACTTTTATCATCATCAGCCTATAAGTGCACACTGTTGAGCAAAGGCCTCTTCTCACACGGAGTAGGTTAGAGCATTAATCACCACGCTTGCTCAATGCGGGTTGGCGATTTCAAACTTATGTTAGAAATTATAAGTCCAGGTTTCCTCACGATGTTTACCTTCACCGTATGTCAGTGGTGTCTAAATAATCATAGAAAGTACATATAACTCGTAAAAAGTCACATTGGTACTTGCCAGGTTTCGAACCCACACCCTCATGCATGCCTTAACCTCCGGGCCACCACCACTTTATACTTTTATCCAAATGTCAAAAACGATACTTTTCTATGAAATTTGTATGAAAAACTGAGTTATGACGACATAGTTTTTTTGCGTCATATAGCTTACTTATTTCTTAAAAATTAGCTAAAAAATCTCGAAAACTTTATGTATCGACAGATCGATGAATAAAAGTATAGTTATTTTTCAATATATTATTGTATTGAAACGTCGAATTAATTTATTTTTGACCTAGGAAACTATCCAATTCTTTTATCGAGTCGAAACTTTTATATATTTGTGTAACTTTTTAAATTTTATTTCATAAAACAAGATGTTATAATTACCTGAATAGCTCTGTTCTGCATTCCCCAAATGATGGCTTTAGTCCGGTCAGTGAATAGTGACATGACGGAAGAAGGGCACTGGCCCAAGTCTTGGCGAGTTGGAGCTTGGGAACAGACCAGGTCCAGTAGCTTGTGTGTCATCTCTGGGATATCCAGCTTCGGTTTTGGCTGTGGAGAGGAGAAAAAATTGATTAGGTAAGATTTTTGTCAATTGATAAGTGGTTCTGACTGTAGATTGATGAAAAAAATTGGTTATAATATCAAATTAGAAACTTTTGGAATCGGAGTGATGCCATGGCCTTACAGAAAACCGGCGTGAAACAACCACAGCGATGTGTTTCGCCGTGTGAATGAGGGTACCGGAGGCGCAATCCCACCGCCTCTCCCCATGCGTACCCAATCTTTAAATATCCAAAACCCATATCCCCAAAAGGCCTCCTGTAGTAATGTGTCCGTGGATGGCGTTGATTGCTTACCATCAGGTAATTCGTCTGCTCGTTTCGCGCCTGCTAGGACCTCTAACATGGCTTGAAACTAGTCGAGTATCTCGTCAGTAAGCCGAAAACACAATATTTAACAACAAAATAGTCTCGTAGTTCAAAAACCGTTTCAATTATGGTTATTATAAAGAATAATTATACTCACAGCAGCCTGGGGTTTCGGCAGTTGTTTGGGCGCGTAGTCCAGCTGATGTTCTTTGGGAATCGGGGACTGTCCTAACGCGAGCCCGACAATGGCCGTCATATTGCTCTCTGGGCCGAAAACGTACAGGGGGATACGGAGACGATGGCCGACCTCGCGCATTTGTCTGAAATTTTAATTGTATTTATTACACAACATTGACAACCAGTAGCAGTTACATTATTTCTTACATTTAAACATTAAATACAATAATAAAATTAAATGTACAGCATTTTAAAGTGTCACAACATGCACAAAATATTTCGTAGTGACACAAAAAATAATTAATCATAAAAGAAATAATATAATTTAAAAAATAAGAAGAGAAATAATATAGAAATTGCAAAAATTACGATTCTAAATTAAATTAAATTAAAATAAAATAAGTATTTATATATAAAACAAAAACATATTTTTTTTTACTTAAACAACGATTATTGGAGTTCAGTCCTCCCAAAAATTACCAACACATTTTTTTTAAATGCAGGTATTGTACCTCTGAAGATATCCACTTCATCACTAAAACTGTTGTAAGTTTTTGCAAGTTGAGACATATTATAATTATATATTTAATTTATAGGGTAGTTTAACCAACTAGTCAAATTCAATACTTTTATCGAAATGTTAAAAACAATAATTTTCTCGTGAATGAATGAAGGTATAATTGTTTTCTAATATTTCTAGTTTTATGTGAGTTGAAATTATTTCTTTTTGACTGAGGAAACAAGCCAATAACAATGTATTGTGTCGCCTTATTCGAACTTATAACCCAGAAAGCGTTGTTTCGCCGTGTGTAAGGTTACCGGAGGCCCAATCCTTCCTCTCCCCCAATCCCTAAATCTTCAAAACCCTAATCCCCAAAAGGTTGGCACCGCACTCGCAACTTTTTGTTCTTGAGGGTATAAATGAGCGGCGCTGATTGCTTACCATCAGGTAATCCGTCTGCTCATTTGCCGACTTATCACATAAAATAATAATAATAATTAAGAATTTGTGTATCGTGTAAACTGCTGAACTGATTTTAACAAAACTTGATATGACGTAAAATACACACTCGGTTTCTGAAAGCCTTGTCGACGCTAAAATTAACTAATCTCCTGTTAAATCTCTTGTCAAGTCATCTGGTTGGTTGTTGATAATTCAGTCAACCAATCAGATGACTTGACAAGAGATTAAATTGATTTTAACATTGATCGGTCGGTCGTGGTGGCTCGGAGTTTAAGGAGCCCGCTTCTCATGCATGAGGGTGTGGGTTCGGAACCTGGCAAGTACCAATGTGACTTTTTCCGAGTTATATGTACTTTCTATGATTATTTAGACACCACGGACATACGGTGAAGGTAAACATCGTGAGGAAACCTGGACTTATAATTTCTAATTATAAGTTTGAAATCGCCAACCCGTATTGAGCAAGCGTGGTGATTAATGCTCTAACCTCCTCCTTATGAGAAGAGGCCTTTGCTCAGCAGTGGGCACTTATAGGCTGATGATGAACATTGATCGGCCTTTCGGCAACCGGGTGTTAGTCTATGATCAAAGATCAAAATCACCAACCTTAGACCTTCTTGGTAGTTGGGACCTCCTCTCCTGACGAAGATGGTGATGTTGTACTGGATGAGGGCATCCTTGTAGGTCTCGATGGCGGTAATGATTCCTCTGAACGTATCGGCTACGTTCGTGAAGTTGGCTATACCACCGCCGATGATGAGCACCTGAGGGAAAGAGTTGGGATTACTGATTAAAAATAAAATTATTTCATTCCTTTATTTAATACTAGCTACACTCGCACGGTGTCACCCGCTGCTCTGCTCAATTTAATCGTAGCGTAATTTTTTATAGCCTATAGCACTCAAAGAATTTTGGAAATCCTACCAGCGTTTCCAAATATTACTCCCTACATACAAACTTACAAATTTTACCTCTTTATAATATTAGTATAGATATCAACATATAATTTTACATTTTTAAATCTATACTAATATTTTAAAGAGGTAAAATTTTTAAGTTTGTATGTAGGGGGTAATCTTTGGAACTGCTGGTCGGATTTCCAAAATTCTTTCACTTATTGATAGCTACAATGTTCCCGGGTGCCATAGGCTATAAAACACAACGCAACAATCAAATGGAGCCGAGCAGCAAGTGAAACTGTGCGGACAAAGCTAGTATTTTAAAAAAAATTAAATAAAAAGCATTTAAAAATATAAACAATAGTGTCCCACCGCTATTGGGAACAGGGTCTTAGCTACCGGTGGTCAGCGCTCCAGAGAAAGGAACCTCCTGACAATACGACCCGTGACCAGGAGTACCCCTTTCTGAATCAAGCCCTTGATCCAGCCACCTAACGAGAGCCTCATGGTCGAGGCTCTTGGCTGTTAAGCCATTGGCTGATTTATTATTGACTAGCTACTCTCGCGCGGTTTCACTCGCTGCTCAGTTGCCATTTGATCGTAGCATGATGTTTTAAAGACTATAGCACTCAGGAACATTGTAGCTATGTATCAATAAAAGAATTTTGGCAATCCGACCAGCGGGTTTAAAATTACCCCCTACATACAAACTTACAAGTTTTACCCCTATATAATATTAGTATAGATTTATTTGGTGAATTATTTATTATTATTACGAGTTCAGTTTAGCGAACTATCACATATAAAATGTTAGATCAATCGATATGAGGTTCTAGAACTAAGCTTCAGCACGAATAGGTCGGATCGACCGGAGTGATACCAAGGCCTCACAGAAAAACTACCATTTTACCCGACTAGATAATCGCCTAGATAAACAGAAATCTCAGTTTATTTTGTAGGCCGGCAAACGAGCCAACGGATTACCTGATGGTAAGCAATCAGCGCTGCCCATGGACACTCGTAATATCAAAGGAGTTACTATAAGTGCGGCCTAAGGTAACCTCATTTACACGGCGAATCACGTTAGAGTTGTTCCACGCCGGTTTTCTGTGAGGCCGTGGTATCACTTCAGTCGAGCCGGCCCATCGTGACTAAGTATGACCCTTCCACACTTATTATTATTTCAACTGGATAAACGACGATCATGAAAAGAAATGGCGTATATTAAAAAAAAATGTCTTACCTTTCCATTAGGATGTTTCTCTCTACACATCAAACTGAAGATAGTCTTAGCATAGTCCGCGGTTTGAGTCTCGGTTGGCGCGCCCGAGTATTCGCCGTAGTTGGCGAGCTCGCCGGCTCCACCCAGCTCGCAGATGGTGTCAGTGTATACAACTGAAGCACCGCCACCGGCTACCATTGTCCAGATACGGCCGGACTTGTTTAGAACTGTTAGCTGTGGGACAGAAAAAATACATAAGAAAATCTGTCAAAATACGGTAGTTTGCAACTTGTCAAATTCAATACTTTTATCCCAATGTCAAAAACGACACTTTTCTATGAAATACTGAGTTATGAAGTCATAGGATTATTACGTCAAATAGCTTACTTATGTCTTAAAAATTTGATTAATGAAAGTATAGTTATTTTTCAATATTTGATTGTATTGAAACGTCGAATTGATTTATTTTTTACAGAGAAAACTAGCCCATTCTGTAGTTTCCAACTAGTCAAATCGATTAAGGCTTAAGTCCATACGTTTAGGGCTGATTTTTCAATAGTCAGACAAATGTTATCTGAGAAATAAAATTGTTGCTGTCACTGTCTTATACAAACATTCTGACGCGACAGCATCATCATTATTCCCAAGAAAACTTTTTGTCTAACCATTGAAAAATTCTACTCCTCAGATAACATTTATCTGACTATTGAAAAATCAGCCCTTAATACAGATTGTATACGCTAAAGAGTACTTATAATACGATTAAGATCATTCCCTAATTCATTTTAAGACGAAAATTGACAATTCACAATAATAATCTAATACATTTAGTAAGAAAACCTCATTTTGGAAAATCTCCCGACATATCACCAAGGAGGGAGACGTCTGAAAGTGGGTGAAAGTTCAAAAAACACCTCACGTAGTTTCTGAACGGTACTAACTTAATAAACAACAAAAATCCCTGCTTACCTTCAAGCTAGCTCCACTCTTGGCGTCCAAATCAGCAATATGCGCCTCCTCGGGGTAAGCATCCCTTCCGAACGGAGGGGGGAATGTCACCTCCCCCCAATTCTTGGCGCAAATAAAGTCAGCAGTTTGATCCAACTTGGCGGCAAGATCCAATAGGTAAATGCGTTCATTTGTTACAACTATCGGGTTTATTTCCATGTATGTGAAATATAAATCGACGTAGACTCGGTATAAAGCTAGAATAAAGGTCGTCAATAATCTGGAAAGAAGGGAAAAAAAGAGTATTATTATTTGGCACGAATGGGTCGGCTCAACCGGAGTGATACCAGGGCCTCAAAGAAAACCGACGTGAAACAACCATAGCGTTGTTTCGCCGTGTGAGTGAGGTCCCTCTTAATCCCTAAATCTCCAAAACCCTAATCCCTAAAAGGTCGGCAACGCACTCGTAACTCCTGCGTTGCAGGCGTCCATGGGTGGCGCTGATTGCTTACCATCAGGTAATCCGTATGCTCGTTTGCCGACCTATTACATAAAAAAACTATGTGGGAGACGACGAAAGGGTCAGTGTTTCTCAATTTTCTCGTCTACTTTTGAATAGTAACTATTGTGAGACATACTAAATTTATAGAAAATAGCGACTCCACTTCACTGATAGAGTCTGAGAAGTTAACTGAGAAAAGCTCTACTAGTTTCAAGTTACACCGGAATCCATACTCAGGTGACAACGCATACTTGAAACTAGTCGAGCGACTTGAATATTAATTTCTAAAAATTCTAGAACTTGTTTGCCGATGGTATTATTTAAAATTTTGCCATGCACTAGGTTTATTTCCAGTACCGTGTGTGCGACAACACAAAGTGTTGTCCATGTAGGAATCGAGCCCGCGACACGTTGAAAAGCAGCTATCTATAGCAATTATATATCTCTATATATTTATATATGTTAATCTGTTTCTGTGTTCCGTGAGTGTGTCCGTGGCATCACCAGGCCCTATCAGAATACCAGCGCTGCGGTATTTTTACCTACTGGTGAATTATCGCAGCATATGCTGAGATAGTGGCCTTTTTGACCTCGCACAGGTCTTTTATTTTATTTTTAATATTTTTTAAATTTTTGTTTGTTTTTTCTTTTTTTATATATAAAATGTATATATTTATTTTCTGTATGTATTTATTTTCTGTGCGAGTCTCAAATAAATGTTTTTTTCTTTTCTTTCTTTCTTTTCAATTGCCCAGCCACTGCGCCAACCGTGCAGTCAGTATAAATTTGGAAGCAATTAAGAATATCATGTTTATTTAAAAATTGAATAATACCTTTTCATAGCTGCAGATTTGATGTTTTTGAGAAGCACTCTCTCGATATCCTCGCCTGAGGGGAAAGTGTCCACTGGGATCTGGAAATTATAGATATTTTCTATACTAATATTATAAAGAGGTAAAATGTGTAAGTTTGTATGTAGTGGGTAATCTTTGGAACCGCTGGTCGGATTGCCAAAATTCTTTCACTGATAGATAGCTACAATGTTCCTGAGTGCTATAGGCTATAAAATATCACGATAAAATCAAATGAAGCCGAGGAGCTGGTGAAACCGCGCGAGACTAGCTAGTTATTAATAAACTTGTTTTAACATGTTGACACAATGATATGAATGAAATATTAATAGACATATAATATTAGGAATTGGCTTTACAGTACAAAACGCGCGAAAACAGTTTTCTCTCTGACAGCTACGTTAAAGCGCGTTAGATCTTAGCTTGATGTTTTATAGCCTATAGCTCACAGGAACATTGTAGCTATCTATCAGTGAAAGAATTTTGGCAATCCGACCAGCGGTTCCAAAGATTACCCCCTACGTACAAACTTATAAATTAAAAACTTAATTTAAAAAATCATGAAATTTATGTGACGTATGTACTTAATGGATGGCCCCTAATGATATTTATAATAGACTAGCTTTCGCCCGCGACAACGTTCGTGTGGAAGCAGAAGTTTGGTATAAACAGTATCCTATGTCCTTTACCTCTGAGTTTGTTTCGGCATTTCTTCTCAGAGTAGTCAGATAGGAAATGCCGGCTTCATCTAGTTTTTCACATATAATTTGACGTGTAAAAGTGCCGTTTTATGGCCTATTTGAAAAAATAAATTCATTGTTTCATTGTTTCATGTCTGTACCAAATTTCACAGAAACCAGTTAAGTAGTTTAGGCGTGAAGAAAAGACAGACAGACAGTTACTTTCGCATTCATAATATTAGTTTGTATATACTCTTATTAAACAAAAAATGGGACGAATTCCAGTAAGCTGAATTCCATAGTTGATTACATTTAGGATGAAAGGTGGTCGCGGCCTAGAAAATGATGGGTGGGTTACCTCGAGCCGGAGTGCGAGGGCGTCCACATCGCCGACATCCACTCCTCCCTGATGATGGAAGAGGATGGTGTCCGACCGTCTGCCAGACATTATGTTCAGGTACATCTCCTCGCTCTGTAAAGAATGGGGATAAGTTAGTGGTGATTAATTTTTATAAAGAAACTACCGACCCGTCTCAACTTCACACGGGTGTAATGCTGATACTAAATATCTTCACTATTTAATGGATGTTATTATACATATAAACCTTCCTGTTCAATCGTCAGAATATATATATGTATATACTAGCCTTTGCTAAGCCGCGGCTTCGCTCGCGTTAAGAAATATTATTATTAATTACGTATACTTTTTGCGGATTTCCTTTTTTTAGCGTATGTTGAAAATTAAATCTTTAATTTCAGCTCAATTAGTCGAAAGTCTAAAGACTGAAAGATTTATACAAACTTTCATTCCCTATTTTAACCCCTTAGAGGTGGATTTTATCAAAATCCTTTCTAGGGGATGTAGGCATACCATAAAACACAGGAACGCACATCGTATGCGTTATAGTAGCTTTATGCATGCAAGGTCTCAGCCCGATCGGTTTAAAACTGACAAAGTTTCATAAAAACTTTCATCCCCTTTTTTATCCCCTTGGGGGTAAAATTAATCAAAATCCTTTCTTAGCGGATGTCTACGTCATAACATCTACCTATATGCCAAATTTCAGTCCGATCCGTCCAGTGGTTTGAGCTGTGCGTTGATAGATCACTATATCAGTCACCTTTGAGTTTTATACAGGGTGTAAAAAGACACTTAACAAAGCCGTTAACTACGCATACTGCACTTGTAACTAAGTAGCTTTACGCTAAAATTATCACTGGGAAATAACTTTTATTTTTAGGTATCAAAAAAAAAAAAAAAATATTGCGCGCAATGTAAAGCAAACGGGCTTCGTGTCATTGTGTGCGTAGGTTCACAGCTTAGCATTAAAACGCTGTGATAAGTACGAAGGTCGACGTTTTATTTCGCAACAACAAAACAATTCTGTAAAATAAAAATCCTACTGAGATGCACGATGTTTTTTGTGCGGATCTGCATTTATTTATTACGTACATTACTGTTCGTAACTTCAAATGGGTAATTTATTTAGAAAAATCGAAAATTGAGGTAATGTTTGTTTGGAAAAAAGTTTTGTAATAATACATACAATTCGATTGCGCAAAAATAAAAAAATAAAAATGCGTCTTTGACCTTCAATATCTCGAGAACCCGTGGAGTCCCAGCTATGGTCTTAAAGAAAAAAAATATCCAAATAATGGGTAGAATACGTGGCTTTCGGCTTCGTTAAGTGTCTTTTCATTTATTTATTTATTTATTTATTTCACACTTCTTGCACAACGTACAATGGCGGACTTAACGCCTTAGGCGTTCTCTGCCAGTCTACCTTTGGGTGGTGGAGAAATAGGAGTGGTAGGTGCATCTTCTTGATGAAAATAAGGAAAAAAAAAAAACACATGCTACAAAATTATTGCTCATACATATACATATATATCAATAAATATAAATATATGTATACCTATACATTATATAAATACAATAAATATGTTATATATATACATAGGTACATATTATCATATTCCACGGAAAAAAGTGTCGATAATAAACTATTGTGGAGAATCCGCCAATTTCTTCCGGATGTGATCTCGTAGTTTCAATTTGAAAGCGTTCTTACTATCTACCATCCTGACCTCCAAAGGTAGCTCATTCCAGAGAAGAATGGGTTTAACGAAAAAGGAAGAGTGCATAGTATCTGAACGGTGGGCAGGGCAGTGCAGAAGGCGATTATTAGAAGAACGAAGATTTTTGTTGTGTTGCGAGCAAACATACTGAAAGTGTGAAGTTAGAAGGGAAGGTGAAGAGGGTGTATGGAGATTAGAAAAAAGAGTAGTTAATGTCCTCATCTCACGTCGCTGTCTTATCGGTAGCCTTTTTACACCCTGTATATGTAGAAGAGAGTAAGATAATACTTACAGCATCGTGTTTGACGAATGGTTCGACAATGAAATGCCTGAGCTTCCCGACAGCGGCGCCGACCTGCTGTTCTTTGCCGACATGTTCGCTGAGCCACCTCCTCACTTCAGCCGCCGACTTGTTCACTCCAACCAGACCGAGTTTACCGCGCCTTTTGATCAGCTGATCGGGTTTTACTACTAGTTGCTGTTGGAGAGAGAAAAATAATACTTAATTTAATAAGTATTTCTTATAAGTGCCCACTGCTGAGCAAAGGCCTCTTCTCATACAGAGAAGGTTAGAGCATTAATCACCACGCTTGCTCAATGCGATGCAATTTCAAACTTATAATTAGAAATTATTTGTCCAGGTTTCCTCACGATGTTTGCCTTCACCGTATGTCAGTGGTGTCTTAATAATCATAGAACAACACTTTATACAAATACATGTAAAGGTGGACTTATGCCTTAGGCATTGTCTAACAGTCGACCTTTGAGTGATTGAGAGATGAGAGTGGCCGGTGACAAAAGAATAAATAACAAAATTTTATCACATTACATAACTTAGATACTATATAATATAAACTTATAATGAAAAAAAAACACAATAGGTAGGTATCATTATATAAATAAATATATTTATGGTTTAGTCGGACTAAATGTCGCATTTTTAGTCAGTAAGAGTCTGACACTCTCTCGCCTCATCCTGGGCCGGTGAAGTAATTTGATGAATTTCCTCTAGCAAAAACATAATTTCTGAATAAAAAAGGAGGGGACGAGGGGCAAGTCAATTAGCCATATTATATCTTAAACAGTATCAGACTGCGTAGTTAATGAAAAGTTTTCGAAAAAACTTTAAACTACCGGGAACCCTTAATAATAAAACTTGTAATGAAATTGAGTTTGCCAGTCACCCCCTGCCTGTTTATCCGTATGTATCAATATTGGTCAGGGGCAGGGGCCATAGTAGTTCCATAGTTATCATATCCACCAGTCCATAGCAACTCATACCAATAACCCTATCAATTTTTACCACATTTCACAATTAAATAGTCCTGCATCAACCGGGGATTGTCCTTGGGTGCACTTATATAGTGCATACAGGGATAATTGCCGGCTGATGTCCCATCACATTTAGATTAAAACTGTTCAACGGGCCTCTGCGAGTTGGCTTCGGCTCCTCGTACGCCTTCCAAAGGTCCGGGACCCTGTGGTCCCGTGAAAGGAAAGAAGAAAACTTGTAATTAAAAAAATAATGCTATAATACCACAATATTTGCCTACATCATTTTATTAAACAACTAGGCTATTCTCGGTTTTACCCGCTGCTCGGCTCCTTTAGATCGTAGCGTGATGTTTTATAGCCTAAAGCCTTCCTCAATAAATGGTCTATTAAACACAAAAAGATTTTGTTTAATTCGAACCAACAGTTCCTGAGATTAGCGCGTTCAAACAAACAACCTTCAGGTGAGGTAAAATTTGTAAGTTTGTATGTAGGGGGTAATCTTTGGAACCGCTGGTCGGATTGCCAAAATTCTTTCACTGATAGATAGCTACAATGTTCCTGAGTGCTATAGGCTATGAAACGTCACGCTACGATCAATTTAAGCCGAGTGAAACCGCGCGAGAGTAAGTAGCTACTATTTTATATACGAATAAACGCATCATAGAAGCGTTTTACCTACATAACAGTGTACGAACGACACACACACAATGATCATATAAATTATGAACGGATGTAGTGATTGGTCATTCTATAGCCATTTGTGAACTTCTTGCTAGTTAGATTTTGTAAGGATAGGCAAATATGTCTAGTACATTATAAAATATACCTTACGGCTGATTTTTCAATGGTTAGATAAAAGTTATCTGGGGCATAATGATGATGCTGTCGCGTCAAAATGTTTGTATAAGACAGTGACAGCAACAATTTAATTCCTCGCATAACACTTATTTGACTATTGAAAAATCAGCCCTTAATGCAATATTTTTAACTATAAAATATTACATATTTTGTTCGGCAATTAAGTTTACCAGTCCTTGTTATTAATGAGAGTATTATTTATTGTTATTCCACTATTTATATATTCCATTTAAGGACTGGAATAGCTTGCGTGCAACGGTCTTCTCGTCCAGTTATGATTTAGGTGTCTTCGAGGCTACAATGAATAGGCTCTTAATAAACTAGTGCGCCTTACTATCAACGATTGCATCACTGCTTACCATCAGGTGGAATTGCAGTCAAGCACAAGTTTATATGATCTAGGGTGAATTTTTCAATGGTTAGATAAATGTTACCTGGGGAATAATTATGATGTTGTCGCGTCAGAATGTTTGTATAAGACAGTGACAGCAACAATTTTATTCCTCGGATAACACTTATTTGACTATTGAAAAATCTGCTCTTAAAAGGACATGTTAACGAATAAAATTTTGGTTACGTTTTAATAATTAAATTTTCGTGAAATAAAAATTTGCTCTGGAAACTACCCAACTGTATGCTTTTAAAATAAAGACATCTTTTTTGGACCATTTTTTGAGAGAGAGAAATCATCAAATGACTTCTCGTTTGAAGGAATCAATAGGCATATTTTTATTTTGCGTGTTCCACCTTAGACCTCATCATTGCGTTCCATCAGGCGTGATAGAGGTCAAACACACTCAAATCTATAGGTAATTTAAAAATGAATCGCAAAATGTGTTGGTAAGCGCATAACTCAAAAACGCCTCGACCAATTTAGCCAAATCCTTTTGTTTTGTATTTATTATTGTCAAGAGAAGGTTCTTACGAAAGAAAATATTAGAAAAGTAGAGGGGAAAATTGGGTAACTAATAAAAACAACCTGTCCTGGAAGGTGGGAGAGGGAGTTTCAGACTTTTTACAGACCTTTTTCTGTCATCTGTTTAGAGTCCACGCCACGGTACATCATTTGGCTTAAACCCACAACTCTGGTTAGATTTTTAAAACTACCGAACGATTTTACTTCTGAATCGAACCTTATTTTCTTTTGTAGATTATGATCCTTACCTCTTTAGCTAGCCAAGGGTTCTTGCCGAGTTCATCTTCCCAGATGGTCCCTTGTTCGAAGGTCGCAAATCGGCATGGTACCAACGCTGTGCCTGGAGCTATATGCCTGAAAAATTTAGAAAATAACCATTAATTTATTGAAGAGACAAAATTCAAGCTTGGGTATTAATACCGTCCAGCTCTACTGGAGTGATACCACGGCCTAACAGACAACTGGCGTGAATAAACCACAGCGTTGTGTTTCGCCGTGTGAGTGAGGTTAGAGGAGAACTAATCCTACACTCTCGCCATGAGATTAACAACGCACTGGTGGCTTTTCTGGTGTTGCGATTGTCCACGGACGGAGCTAACTATGGTTGTATAAATGAGAAAGTGTGGGAGAGCCATGCTTCGGCACGAATGGGTCGGCTCGACCGGAGTAATAACACGGCCTCACAGAAAACCGGCGTGAAACAACCACAACGTTGTGTTTCGCCGCCTGAGTGAGGTTAACGGAGGCCCAATCCTTCCCCTACCCAATCCCTGAATCCCCAAAATCCCAATCCCTAAAAGGTCGGCAAGGCACTCGTAACTCCTTCTTTGTTGCGGGTGTCCGTCCGTCTGCATGTTTGCCGTCCTATCACATAAAAAAAAGGAGGCGGAGAACCATCATAGAGGGAGTGTCAGAGTCTTTCTGACCGAAAACCACAGCGTTCATTCTCCTTAACCAGGCCAGTACCGCGGGTTTATTGAGCTTGACCCGCAACCCCAGCTGAGCATCGGCCCTTGACCCCTTAAATATTAATTTTATCTTCTTTTGAGCATTTGATACACAAGCACAAGGCATTATCAAGAAACACGAGTCATCTGGTGACAAACTGACTGACGAATTAACCGCGGAACTTTAATAATAGGTTACCGTTTTTATTATTTAGGCCTGGAACTCCAAAAATGACTTTTAACCCTGAACGGAGAATGTTTTTTTGCCAATTTTAAGAACAACCTTATTCTTTTGTATGTGGTAGGGCGGCAGACGAGCTCGCGGACGGATTACCTGATAGTAAGCAAACAGAGCCGCCCATAGACATCCGTAACGAGATTGTTAAATTACGAGCGAGTTGCTGACGTTTTGGGATATTAGGGAGATTTTGGGATTGGGGGAGGGGAAAGATTAGAATGGTACTATTACCTAATAATGGTGTAAATTATTGTGCTTTTACCTGTTAATAAGATCCTTGCCGGTCGCTTCGTATATGGCTTTGGACGACATGTTTGTGTGTCTATAAGTTCAACAGTCAACAACTTGTGGCGGCCTGCGTCATATGGATGGGAGTTACTGCTGTGGACAAAGAGAAATATAACTTTAATTATGTTATACCAGCTACTTCCGCGCGGTTTCACCCGCTGCTAAGCCCTACAGATCGTAGCGTGATGTTTTATAGTCTCTATCCTTCCTCAACAAAAAGAAATGTTCAATTCGAACCATCCGTTCCGGAGATTAGTGCGTTCAAAAGTCAAAAGTCAAAAATCATTTATTCCAATTAGACCTTTACAGGCACTTTTGAACGTCAAACAAAATTAAAAAAAAAATAGTGTCAGTCTGTCGGTCAGTCCTTTTAGTGAAGCTATTTGCTCGTTCCAAAGTGTAGATTCCTATGGAGAAGAACGAGCAAGCAACTCCATGGTTACTCTTTTTAAATCAGTTTCACATACAGATTCCTTTTACAAACAGTTGTTTCAATTATGTGAGAACAGTGTAATACTAATATTTATTCAAATATAAAAATAAAGTAACCTTAAGGACAATAGACAGTCTGGAGCTGACCAGTCCCAACTGACGACGCCCGTTCACGAGCATGACACGTACACCAGCATCGCCCAACTCAACCATATTATAGGGAATTAAGCGATCCAGCGCCCATGCCACCGCCAGTTCAGACAAACAAACTCTTTAGCTTTATAATATTAGTAAAGTATAGATATCCATGTACGTGCCACTGCCACATCAGTTTAATAGGATGAGAAAGGAGATCGCAGCTTAGATTAGGCAGCGTCACTGATCGGTTTTTGACAAATCAATCCCTTATTGAAGGTGGAAAACCAACCTAAAAACTTCCCTCGCCATGGACCCTATCCTAGAGGATCCTAATCACATTCACTGACTAAAGATCTGCTCCGAGCTGCGTTGCAGTACATTTCTATCGCAAGCCTGATCGGGCAAACGCCATCCCTTACTTGGGTATATTACACCCACGTGAAGAATGAGGGTGGTCGTAATCGTAAGTGACTCCGCCACTACTAGTGATGTATGACTAAGACTATAAGCTTGTTCGTGACTTAATTGGTGTGAAAAATAAAATTTATGTTTGACATATCAGCCTATCCCCTCGAATAACAGCTAGCGTCATAATACATCAAGAATATATAGACGAAAACATGACATAATGTTTGCGTAAGCAAAAAAACTATGGGTACATAAGCACTTAATATCAGAATCAACGTAAATTACACTTTAGCTTGGTGTTATAAGGTACATTTTCGTTTGTGTTTGAAGGCTTTTTATGATTAACTTTTTTTAGTACATTTTTCTACAGTACTATTACTGGCACCATGCTTAGATTAACACGTGGTATAAGTACCAGGTTACGATTGCCGTGACAGCCAATTGGGTAGTTTCCTAGGTCAAAAATTAATATTCGACGTTTCAATACAATAAAATATTGAAAAAAAACTATACTTTTATTCATCGATCGATCGATACATTTAGATATTTTTTAGCTAAATTATTAAGAAATAAGTAAACTATTTGACGCAAAAATGCTATGACGTCATAACTCAATTTTTCACACATATTTCATAGAAAAGTATCGTTTTTGACGTTTGGATAAAAGTAATGAATTTGACTGGTTGGAAACTACCGTATTCTCGAAATTTTCTCTTATAGAATTAAATCTGAAATATAGCTCTTTTCGTACCTACCTAAGTATTGTTAAAAGCCCGGTATATAAGAAAAATAACATAAAAAATACTACTTTAATTAAAAAAAACATCATAAAACATAGTTACATTACAACGAAAAGCAATAACAAAACGCAATACCTACCTAAAAAAAAACAACGAAAAAAAATAAATAAATGATATTTAAAAAAGGAATTTAGAACGCGCCGCCATCGCCACGCCATTGACAACACGCGAATAGTGGCGGGCTTGTTTTGTAAACGCGCTCTGATTGGCTGAGCGGCGTCGTGGTACGATCGCATGATCCGATCTCATAGTTTCCAACGTCATAATTCCGAATCAGCTGAGGCTATGCGTAACCTGGTGCTGAGAAAGCTGTAATGAAATGGGTACCGCGAATAAGGTAGTTTCCAACTAGTAAAATTAAAAACTTTTATCCAAATACCAAAAACTAAACTATTAAATTCGAAACTTTAAATTATGACGTCATAGTATTTTTGCGACAAATAGCTCACTAATGTCAAAAAAAAAAATCGTTAATGTAGTGTACGTATCGATCGACCGCCTGCTATCGACAGATCGATGAATAAAAGTATATATATAGTCTTTAGTTATTTTTCAATATTTTATTGTATTGAAACATAGAATTAAATTATTTTTGATCTAGGAAACTTCTCAATTAAATCTCGCAAAGTATTTAAGACTGGTTAGAAAGTAAAATAGGACTTAATATTCTTATTTAGCTACGGCCTATAGAAAATATATAGAATCATCATCTTCCTGCCCTTGTCCCGTTTTATTTGGGGTCGGCGCAACATGTTTTTTTCTTCCATTCTGTCCTGTCACCCGTCACGCTATCGCTAACTCCTCTGTCTTCCATATCACTTCTCACACAATCCATCCATATTTTCTTTGGTCTCCCTCTCCCTCTCCATCCATCCACATTTATACATTTATCCACGTTTTTTTTATATAAAAATATATAGAATAAAAAGATGAATATTGGAAGAAATTAGTGACTCTTCCGTCATCAGCGAGGTAGTTCAAGAGACCCGAAATATATTATATAACAAAATGAATCGCAAAATGAGTTGGTATACGCATAACTCCAAAACGCCTGGGCCAATTCCGCCAATTCTTCTTTTGTTTTGTTTGTTATTGTCAGGAGAAGGTTCCTATCAAAGAAAATCAGAAAAGTAGAGGGGGAAAATGGGGAAAAAAGCGTTAGCGAGATCGTCAGACCCGTACGAGGTGGGGGGCGGATCTCTATTCTCTAGTTAATAATGATCTTAGTCTCAACTATCTTGGCATTGGCTTTTGTTTTTAAGATAAATTCAATAAAACTTATGTAAAAAAAAACAATCTCAATATCAATATATAATTTCAGTTATACAGGTATATAGGTATGATGTATTCGAATGGATCGGCTCGACCGGAGTGATACCACGACCTCACACAACACCGGCGTAAAACAACCACAGCGTTGTGTTTCGCCGATCCCTCCCCATCCCTTCCCGATCTTAAGTATCCGAAACCCTTATCCCTAAAAGGCCGGCAACGCACGTGTAACCTCCTTTGGTGTTGCGGGTGTAAACAGTCAGCGTCGCAGTTTTATAAAACAAATACTTCTATCTAACTTCTCACTTATATTATAAATGTAAGTAAATGTTTGTATATATGTTTGTTACTCTTCAAAAACGGATGAACCGATTTGGTTGAAGTTTAGTATGTGGATAGGTGTTAGTTAACCTGGATAAACACATAGGCTTTTTATAGACTACACGGGCCTAGCTACGGGCTAACGCTAGCAATATGTATAATATAGACAAAGACCTTGCTACTTTTTATGAGGAAAAATAAACGATTATAATTACCATAAAAATCAAATTATATGAAGACAAAAAGTTTATAAATTATTATTTTATTTATAATATAAAATACACGTGTTAAAATTATAGTCACTTTACTTCTCCGAAACGGCTTTACTGATTTTTATCAAATTTTATATGCCTAAGCCTAAGGTACCTTCAGTAGGTCTGAGAATCGGCTAGTGGCTATTTTTCATACACCTAAGTGACAAGTCTTGTTACACACTTAATTGTTTTTCCAAATAAACTGTATTAGTTATGGGTACGACAAAAGAGCAGATGGATTACCTGATGGTAAGCAATCGGCGCCGCCCATGGTCACTCGCAATACCAAAAGAGGTTACAAGTGGATTGCTGGCCTTTTGGGTATAGGGTTCCGGATAATTAAGGATTGGGAAGTGATTATGGGGCCACCGATAACCTCGCTCACACGGCGAAACACAACGTTGTGATTATTTCACGCCGGTTTTCTGTGAGACCGTGGTATCACTTCGGTCGAGCCAAACTTTTCCCGGGTCAGCTAGTATCTTTATAATCTTAGAAAAGTGCATACGACTCGGACAAACCACATTTGTACTTGATAGGTTTCAAATACGAGCCTCAAATAGCCAATAGACCACAACAGACGGGGCCCTATAGGGTTGATGTTCAGCCGGGGTTGCGGGATAAGCGCAATGAGGCACCGCGACCTCGGCCCAGAGCAGGAGGACGGAACAGGGGGTTTTTTAGTCAGTAAGAGTCTGAGACTCTCTCTCGCCTTACCCTGGGCAGGAGAGGCCATTTGACGATTTTACCTAATACGCACTCTTACATACGAGAATCGGGCGCCTAATAACCGGGAATTTAGAACCACTACGACATAAGGCTCATTTCAGAATAACTCACGTATATACTACCAATAAAAAAGCAATTCAACAATAAACCTTAATGACGTATACACATAAGCGTCACATTACGTTGCGTCCTTGAACTTGCGAGACTGCCCTACTCCACTACTACGGACTAAATTCTCGATAACGACTCACAAGGATTTATTACGTGATAAAAATATTTATTTATAGTCGTAATGACATTATATGGAGATTATTTGAATGCGGGAAAAGATTTAATATTATGAAATAACTATAAACAAAATGTTTTGTTGCCTTTTTATTTTTAATTGCCGAAGGTCACAGTAAGTCCGGGAGACATCTGATATTTTTATAGTTGGGGATAACTCTATGTCTCTCTTCCGAAATGAGTGACTGGATAATGCTAATATGGGGAAAGCTCATGAGGGTGTGGATTCGAAACCTGGCAAGTACCAATGTGACTTTTTCCGAGTTATATGTACTTTCTATGATTATCTAGACACCGCTGAAATACGGTGAAGGTAAACATCGTGAGGAAACCTGGACTTATAATTTCTTATTATAAGTTTGAAATCGCCAACCCGCATTGAGCAAGCGTGGTGATTAATGCTCAAACCTTTTCTGTGTGAGAAGAGGCCTTTGCTCAACAGTGTGCACTT